ACTGCCAAATAACTGCAACAGAAAAATATATCTCCTCCTTCTTGAAGCAAACTAAGTCATATGAAAGGGGAGGGGTGAACTAATAATTGTTAGGAACAGCAGGTCTGTATCAAAATTGCATTTTGAAATACAGTCAAATCTCATTATCCCAAACTTGTGGGATAGTAAAAATTTTCTTTTTTATCTAAGGATTCAAGATATCAGGTGTAAAATAAACAATAAGAGGTTGGGACCCAAATCATGGTATTCAAGATTTCAGTGTTTGAGATACTAAAGTTAAACTGTAGTTCAACTGTATATGTACATAAAAGATTTTGAATGAAAATTTTCAGATAATACAACATTGTTTTCAAAATTCACCAGAAGTTAACACAAAAAAATTCTAAATTTAGTCTTGACAAATTTCCTCCCATTTTCCTTCATCTGAATTGAATTTAAATTGCTTCCTGCTTATTAGGAGTTATTTATTGCATCACACAGATGGTCCTAACATCCTGTCTGCTAGTTAGGTCTATGACAGGAAGCTTCACAGGACAGAGCAGATTGCACTGATGGAAGTGTGTGTCTCTTTTTTTTTGAAGATTAAATATTCTTGTCATTCCTCGGAAATAGGAACTGGGTGATATCATCTAAATTAGTCAGGGCAAAGTTTCCAGAGGTGTAAAAATAACTTTGTTGTATTTGTTTGACAGGGGTAGCGACACTACACCACCTCCTCAAATGCCTTTAGCAGAGGGGCCACGGGAATCAGACACCAGACAAGCTATGGGTGAGTGATTTTTAAGATTTTGCAAAGTGGTTGTTAAAGAATTTGCAAAGTGGTTTTAAAGGTTGTGTGTGCAAAATTGAAGAGAAAGTGTTTTAAGGATTGAAATATTTTATAAATTTGCTTTAAAGTAAAGAATGACTCCTTTATATTCGTAAATTTTTTTTTAAAGCCATATATGGGTAGTGAATACAAAATTAAAGAAATATAGTTAATACATTTAAATTAAAGCTTTTTATATGCATGAAGCTGTAATGTGTTATTTAAATGTAAGGAAAAAAAGATCCAAATTAAATTGTGATATCTTTATGTACTTAGATTTTGTGGAAAAGTTCTATCTTTATATAGTAATGATACAAATAATAAGTTCTTATAATTTAGCATATATGACCATATTTTTAAAATGCTCTATATAATCTTGAGAAATACTCATAAAAATGAGAATCAAATGAGAATTTCCTGTTACCAAGTTCTTGCAAATAAAAATTGATTAATCTTTTTTTGAATTTTGTTAAATTTTTACAACAATTGAGTAAAAAAAAAAGCTCGATATTGTATTACTTTCTGTTTTAGAAGGGGAAATTATCCTTTGGCAGTGGATTGATGAAACAAATGTGCTTCATACACTCTCAAAAGAAGAGTCAGTAAGGCTGGAAGATGTATACCAGAAAAAGTCAGGGACAATAATAGTAGGATACAAGGGGCTACAGTGAGTATTTATAAGGCATAAGTCAGTGATTGTTACAATTTTAGGACAATGTCCCAGTATATTTATTGAATTCAGGGGCCAACATGCATTTTGTCAGACCTAATATTGCCAAGTACCAAAGTTTGCCTGAACTGAAAACAAATAGTTTGGATGGAGGGGGTGGCATTATTTTAGATGCTGGAAATTAATTTACATAACCTTTTTTTTTTTTAAAGACTTCGCTGCCAACCAGCTCAAATGAAGTACAGGGACTGTGGCGGAAAGAGTAGAACAGGAAAACTGATACGTAAAGGTACAAACAATTTTACTATTGTAGAACTACTTCTGTTCATTTTTTTTTGAAAACCAACTATGGTACTCTTTTCACATGTTTCAACTTTGAATAATTATATGACAGTCACATTCTATTTTATTTTATTACAGTGTGCAACCATGATGAGGCTGAAACATATTACTGCATTGAAACCTTGTCACAGTAGTGAAGAAGCATTAGGAACACAGAAATACAGCTAGTATATGATGGAACCACACATATTCTTGGAGTTTATAGCATAAAATGAAAAATACAAGCAGATTTTTGTACAGTTAGACTGCTGTTTTGAATGGGTTTTTTTTTTTGGTATGGTCAGATTTATGAGGTTTTTTTTCACCCAGTATTCTGATATTTTTAATGTATGTGAGTACATTTATATTATTTCTTATGCTGACTGTGTTAATCTCTAGTCAGTCGGAATCGCCTGTATACTTTGTTGCATTTTTTTTGCAAATATGATTATTATTCATGAAAAAATGAATTATTTTGTGATTTTTTTTCAAAAACACCAAAGATTATAGAAAGTGCCATCTTTGTTAAAAAGTCCAATTTCTTCTTTTCCTTAACTTAATGTAAACGTTGACTCTAATCAAGACCTTTGTTTATGTGGTATTATCCAAAATATTCTTACTGAAGATTATTTTTTGACACTAACGTTTTATTCATTATGTATATATATAGGTAAATTCCTTCGTGGCAAAATTTAGCTGTCATATATAGGATGTAAAAATTTGATGAGTTTCAATGCTGCATCTTTATATATTTGAACAAAACTTGGCCTCTTCAATATTTCACTGCTAAAAGCTTATGAAACAAATTTATATTCTTGCAGTTAAAAGCAGTGGGAGAATAAAAAAGTGTTTCTTATGCATGACTCTCTATGATATTACAGTGTATTTGCTATTTATTTACGGAGCATGAACATTTTGTTGTTGCTGCTGCTGTAGATTCAGTATTGCATATCCTATTTTATTAATGGGATTCTTTTTGCTGACTTTACCGGAATGCTTATTTATGATTATGCAGACTCTGTTATAAAAATGTTCATTATAATTTTGGAAGTCACTAATCACTTGTAGTTACATATTTATCGTATTAATATTGTTTTAGCACCTTATAAATTGTTTTGATGCATTATTATTTTTAAATTTTTTTAGGGGAGGGAGAGTCAGATTAGGTTTGTAAATAAGACGGAATGTGTCAATTGCATCAATTAAACTAAGATACCATATAGGGAGTTTGTATAAACTTCATTCCTGTTTGTATTATATACTGTTTTGGTATGCAGTGTTTATTGATACATGTAATGAGAAATCGGTGAAATAATTCTTGTACCTAATTTGTAAATTTCTGTTTATGATTATAGAGGTATTTAAATAAATTCTTATAGATTTTTTTCTATTAAAGACGAGTGTTTTATTTATTTATATTTGGTCCAATCCATAGATTTGTAATAAAAATTTAGTTATTATGGTGAAATTAACCATGATTGGAAGTGAAGAATGAATTCTTGGCAAATAACCATAAGCAGCTTATGTATATAATACCATATAAGTGGAAATTTTAGCTAGATGCAAATTTAGCGATTTGTCCTTAAAGATTGGTATTCTATTTTAGTGAGATGTAATTTTAGCGATTTTAAAAAGCTCACTAAAGAAGCTATTACAAATAAAGCGCAATTAATTTTTAGTGATATTCAATTTTAGAGATCTTGGCACCCCTGCTAATAATGCTAAAATTAAATCTTCGCTAAAAATTCTGCTTACACAATATAAAAGATTAAATAAGTTTTAAATACAATTTGTTATATCCACTAGGTTCACAAAATGAATTGTAATGCTTATTGCAAAGTGGTTTTCATTTCATACAAATTATCCCACATTTCCGACCATCTTCGATGCCTTTGTATACCCAGCAGACTAGAGTGATTCCTTAAATATACAAAGATTTTACTTGGTTATAAACATAATTTGTTACATATTGGCATTGCCTATATAAAGTAAAAACAGACACAACAGAGCAATATATTTATCTCTTTTTATTTACAATCTTTAATATTTTTTTTTACTTGCCAACTTCAATGGCAAAACAAAAGCTTACACAGTGTACAACAAATTTCATAGCACAAACTCTTCGAAAACAATACAGCTGATCTTTAAGACATAATTTTGAATTGTTGTTTTTTTCCTCTATATAATCATTGGAATACTTTTAAACGTGAGAATGAAACACCATGGATATATCAAAATGATTTGGAGTCCAAACTATCTTTTCTTAATTTTAATATCTCAAATGAATGGGTATCTCAAAGTTTTTCCCCAGTACCACTGAGTTTGAAATATTGGGTTTATTCATGTATTAGTCTAGCATGTGACACCAAGACAAATCTGCTTTTAATAGCATCTTTTTGTCTTAGTCTTTATCACAAATCTTAAAAACAACAAAAAGTGTGACTATCAAATTTGAAACATTCATGACAATATATTTAAATAAAAATAATAATAAAAACCCACTTTCGCTCATTTAATCATCAACAACTAGCATTCAAATTGGTTCAGGCTAATATCGCACTAAAAATAGTAAAATAAATTCACACTGAAAATTAAAATTGCAAGTATTTGAAACTTTTGAAACATTTATCCTATTTATACAGTAAAACTAAATACATATATAAACTACAGAATCTACCAAACTGTAATAGAGTTTGATTAACAAAAAAAAAATTTGTAGTTGGAAATAATGATGCAAACTTATACGGTTTTTAGCCGTCCTTCAAAATTTTGTATTTTATTTTTAACAGAAGCAACTGAATTTTTTTAGCAATTTTAAAATGTTCACTAAAGCAGCTAGTACAAATAACACACAATTTATTTTTTGCGATATTCAATTTTAGTGATCTCAACAGTCTCGCTAATAATGCCAAAATTAAATCCTCGCTAAAATTTCTACTTAAACGGTATACCAAACTGTAGATTTTTTATTAAAAACAGATGCAAAATGGAAATCATGAGATGTGATTATACAAGAGACAATTCTTGCAGTCACAATTGGCTCACAGTAACTTTGCTGATCTTTAGCATGGTATGACATCGTCAACTGTAATTAATTTTTTTGCAAGTTCTATGTTCACGTCATTGTCACTTCTGGAAAACAAAAAAAGATATATTTTGATTTAAGATGAGTATTTGATCAGATTGTAATTCCAATATTTAAAAAAAAATTGTTTATGTTTAAATATATATGGTTTAAACATTATCTGGCAAGTAAAAAAATTCTTTGTTGCAACTTTTCTAGAATCAGACCATCCATTGGTTAGACTCTATACTTTTAGACACATTTTCTGTCATTTTCACCAGACAGAATGTTTTCATCACTCTGATTGTATAAACATTATGATTATCAGTATGTAACAAAAAATATTATTTCCATACAACAGCTGTCTAAATCTGTTGTAAAATGAAAGACTGTGGATTGCAAAGATTACTTTTTAGAAATATGACATGAAAAGATAAAACAAATTTTAATATCAACTGGAACAAAACTTATAGGACTAAAAATATCAATGTTGGGTAGTGAATCTTGGAGCCCATATAATCCATAAGTTTTTTTTTAAATGGTGTGTACATTGTACAACCCTGTTAAAGATTAAAACATTAATAATTTATTGACAAACCTATTCGCCTTATTTGGTACTCTGCTCCTGTTGACACATTTCTTTGACACTTCTTATCTGGAATGACTCGGTATCTAGGTAAAAATTTAGACAATATAAATAAATTTATTTCACATATTTTCTGAATTCATAACATTTCAACATAAAAATTGAAGAGAAAGGGATCACACACTGATGTCTAATTGTTTTTGTAAGAGCTGTTTATGAGGACTGGTCATTTTATGTTCTATAATACAAGCTACATGCAACTTTTCGATTACTGAAATACAAAATACTGATGCAAAATTCATCTACAATACTTCAAAAGATTCCTTAGCTTAAAACATTTTGTTCAGACTTTACAAGAATTATCAATGATAGCTTTTCTAACTGCCCTGAGTTCAGATCTTACTTTTCATTCTCACACTCCACAACTACTGTCCCCTTGCCCTGTCTGGTCTGGTAGATGTGTTCTATTTTGTCTGAGGTGTCCCCGTAGTGGTCCCTCCAGCGGCCATCTTTATCCCGCCACTGCCATTGGCCCTTCTTCTCAGCTTCAAGTAAAAGAAAACAAATTATTTTTGAATAGAGCTGCCATGGGTGAAACAAATTAATTAATAAAAAGTATAAAATTTATATCAATCTAAATTTTGACAAATCCTTTGAAAATTAAGATACAAGTCATTAAAAATCACCTTCAAAAGATGGCATATTTCTTTTTGAGGTTGGTTTAATAGTTAACAATAATTTTTTGAATTATTTTAAAAAATAAGGTGAAAAAAAATAGTTATTCAGCAAAACTGAATTATCTTTATTTTGGTTTGGTAATTAAAAATAGATGTACAAAATATTCACTTGATTCCTGGAGATTTAAGTCCCCTGAAATTCCTGTAGCTCCTTCTGTAACTATGCACTGTGGACTGCAAAAGTACCAGCAATGTAAAACATTATATAGATTGAACAGATATTTCAATACAAATAGTAGTTTTTAACTCAATTCACAACATACATGTAGTTTTTATCCAGCAACACATTTTAGTCAAAGACATGGGGGGGGTTGTTAAAATAATGATGCTTACCAGACTTCAACGTCATATTTTCCAAACAATCCAAATCTATAATTTCCTCTTTTACCATTGTCCCATCTCACCTGTGGAGGAAATGTTATATTTATTCATTTGCATTTCACATTTTCCAAAACAAATATCTATATATACATGCAAATAATTCCTTATTCAAGATGGCACATGAACATATATTATATAATGACAACCAAAAGTAACCATGTTATGATTAGGTAATAACTGAATATGAGAATAGTGAAATGACACATATATAATGCAATGTGATATTGATACATATGTAATGCAATGTAATATATGTAACACAATGTAAAAATTTTACATTTGCCAATGCCTTTCCTTATATGACAATAAAACTTAAATTGACAGTCAATTTACAATGACAGTGATCAAATCTACTAAATTCTTCTTCCGACATTATATATCATATATGTTGAATTTCATGTCATTTTCCAAAGATTCTTTAAAATTTATATCTTATTTCTTAAATTGATACCTACATGGACAATACCGCTATCCTCCACTTTAAAGATGACCCCCGAGCTTCCCTCTCCCCCGTCCTGGGATCCCCACTCCCAGTCTTTACCTGTAACAGGTGTCAAACAAAATATCTGTCAAATCTTTACTGATTACGGTGTAAATTTAATATATGTTAAGAAATTTCAACACACAATGCTTTCCAGCTCAAAACTGCAACCTTCACATTAAAAAGTGAGATTTTATAGTAAAATCAATTTAAATAATATATAGTCTTGGGGTCATTTATATCGAATACTAATGATTAGAATATAACATAACACTATCCACCTCTCCTTGCCCTGACTCCTACAGCCACCATCATTCCTGGTGGTAACATACGTGGCTCATCCACCATCCTAACGTCCTTAGCTCCACTATCCGCCCCGTACCTGTATTTTCCACGATTTCCGTTGTCCCATTCTACTGTCAAGTAGCCTGAAAATGATTCAATAAGTTTTATAAAATGTTCATAAATTGAAGAAATATATCAGAAAGATTTTTATGACAAAATTACATGTACATTTCAATTTCTAAATTACTTTGATTATCAAATTTATATCTAAAATACATGTATATGTTCCAGGTATAGTAAAAGCTTTTTTATTCCAAACACCTCTTCTTCCCAAAAAATTGATTGATTTAGACAGCATTCTGGATAAGAAAAGACTTAACTTGGAGCTTAAAGTTTTTATCATATTAAGCAAGATTTCTAAACACACATCCCTATTAGACAAGTTTAATTGTACTTTTATGATAATGTGAATAATATTGCCAGAAATTAAATATCCAATGTGCCTTGCAAAAATAATTTATTTTTCTCAGAATGTCTTAGATCTACAATTTTCTTAATATCATGCATGTGAGAGATGACAAGATATCTCACCTCTTGCTTTGTGGGCTACCACAGTCACAGGCAGATTATCATTTTGTATTCTCACCTCGTGCTTTGTGGGCTACGACAGTCCCAGGCAGATTATCATCCTGGTTCTCCCATCTCCAGTCTGGGCCTCGTCTCACTCGCGAACCAATCGGGGGCATCTCCTTTGTCTCTATGGAGCTGCTATCAAATCCCCCCGTGGCACCTCCCTGTGCCTTTTGCTCACTCTCCCTTATCATCCTTAAAGCCTCGTCCTAAATAAATATGAAAAAAAATGGCAATAAGACAAACATTAAAATCCATATTTTCCTTAAAAGTGCACCTAAACCTACATAAATTACTGGTATGCATTGCTTAAAAGTCTAGGGATTTGTGGAACATACTGCATTAACTGATTTACATGTACAGTATTGGACCTAATTTTGTTACAAATGCACAAGCTCTTTTTTTATGACAATATAGCTAATGTACATGTCAATACTTCTCCAAAGCAGTCAAATTTCAGTGTTTCCAATGTAATTGTACTGTAATCTGAATGTTAATGCTCAATGAATTCTTCAATCAATGTGAAGTTATATATAAGTCTACTCACCACCTCTGCCTCCTCAAAACCCGCCCCTCCCTCTGCCTCCTTGATCTTCTGCTTCAATTCCTCGTCTGACAATTCAGGTCCTCTCAGGGCTCCATCATGGATAACCTTGGCTACTACAGTCTGTAAATGAAAGAAAAAGTGAGCAAGCTCAAATACCCTACGCTCCCCCAAAACTCAAAGTGCTGAAAATCCCGGACAAAATGAAAGAATCGGAATTTTCCGGTAATGTGCACATCTACAAATTGTGTCCTAAATATCTGCAAAGTTTGATGAAATTCTGTGCAGCGGTTTATGAGGAGTTGCGCTGACAAACTGTTCACCACTATACTCAAGATATCCCCCAAAATCTAAGTTGTAAAGTGCCGAAATTCCCAGAAAAATAAAGGAATAGGAATTTCCTGGTAAAATGCACATCTATTATTGTGTCCTAAATATCTGCAAAGTCTGACGAAATTCTGTGCACCGGTTTATGAGGGGTCGCGCTGACAAAATGTTCATCTATATATTCAAGGTATGGCCAAAAATCTAATTTGAAAAGTGCCAAAATTCCCAGAAAAATAAAGGAATAGGAATTTCCTGGTAATATGCAAATCTACACACTGTGTCCTAAATATCTCCAAAGTTAGACGAAAATCTGTGCAGCGGTTTATGAGGAATTGCGCTGACAAACTGTTCATCTCTATAATCAAGGTATGGCTACATGCCCAAGTTAAAAAATGCGGAAATTTGCGGAAAAAATAACGGAATCAGAATTTCCTGGTAATATGCACATCTACACACTGTGTCCTAAATATCTGCAAAGTTTGATGAAATTCTGTGCAGCGGTTTATGAGGAGTTGCGCTGACAAACTGTTCACCACTATACTCAAGATATCCCCCAAAATCTAAGTTGTAAAGTGCCGAAATTCCCAGAAAAATAAAGGAATAGGAATTTCCTGGTAAAATGCACATCTATTATTGTGTCCTAAATATCTGCAAAGTTTGGCGAAATTCTGTGCACCGGTTTATGAGGGGTCGCACCGACAAAATGTTCATCTCTATATTCAAGGTATGGCCAAATGCCTAAGTTAAAAAGTGCGGAAATTCCCGGGAAAAATAAAGGAATCGGAATTTCCTTGTAATATGCACATCTATACATTGTGTTCTAAATACCTGCAAAGTTTGACGAAATTCTGTGCAGCGGTTTATGAGGAGTTGCGCTGACAAACTGTTCATCTCTATATTCAAGGTATGGCCAAATGCCTAAGTTAAAAAGTGCAAACGGGAAAAATAATGGAATCGGAATTTCCTGGTAATATGCACATCTACACATTGTGTCCTAAATACCTGCAAAGTTTGACGAAATTCTGTGCTGCGGTTTATGAGGAGTTGCGCTGACAAAAAAAAGGACTGACTGACTGACCGACACTCTGACGGACGGGTCAAAAACATTATACCTCACGCAACTTGTTGCGTGGGGTATAATAACAAGTGCATGTATATATTTTTTAATAAAAAATTGTGTGTCAAAGAATATTTTGACACCCTTGAATGCTTTAACCCCTTCCATGGCAAAGATTTTATGCATTTCTAGATAAATTGATATTAAGATTTCAATGCATTTTTTCGGGTATTTCTTGTAATTTTTACATATACCAATGTATGTATATTGTGAAGGCAGGTATTGAGTAGTTTCTGAAAATGATCATGAAAATATCATTTCAGTTGCCATGGCAACGAAATACACCATAATCATGCTGAAATTTCCATTTATTCAAGAATGAGTTTCATTCTAGTTTTTTTTACTAAGTTAAATATATTTAAAAATATTTTATTGTTGTGTTGAAAATTATGAGCATGTTGTATATCTTTATAAAAACCAATTTAAAATATTTTGGCAGGATTGGGTGGGGTTGGCAGGTAATCACCAGAATTTAGCATTTTTGCGTATTACGTGTTACCACAGCATTGATTTCTATTATTGCAAAATCGCTCAAATAGTGCGCAAAGTTAAACTCAAGCTAGCAAAAAACTGGAACAATCAATAAAAAAAATTTCTGTGTATTATTTTATCGTTATTATCTTCTCTTTCCAATGATACAACAATTATTCTGATATTTGCAGTATTAAAGAAGTTATGAATGTTTTTTCACACTATGCTCATTTTTCAAGTCAGATGCGTAGAAATGCATATATGCCATGGAAGGGGTTAAGGGAGGTAACTCCTACCAACTCCATCTGCAAGGTCTCTTATTTATTTGCTCTGTCCAAATATTGCATTATTCTTTTTAGATAACTATGGGTTAGTCTACTCTTTTTTTTCAGTTATGCTGAGAACATATTCAAATCAATAAATTCTACAGGTATTCGTCAACAATTCAAGAATCTGCGTGTTTTACAGATTTTTTTTTTTTTTTGTGAAGAATATACCATGATACTTACGTTGATGAGGAAATGGTGACTGAGTTTCTTGACATCTGCAGGTTGTACAATGGTTCCCCCTGCTGTGTTTACAAGTTGCCCCAATAAAGTCTGTAAAAGCCATGATACTTGTATATGAAACAAAAACATGAGTACACTAGACTAAAAACTTGTATATTGGAATTCAATCAATGACAAGTTTTCTCTGTATATATTGTGAACATGGGAAAAAAATTTTAACTTTTTGATAATGCTAGTTTATACCATCTTATTTAGAAGTGTCTTGTTGTGTGGACTTACCATATCAGCGTCCTCTCCAATGGGAACACAAGCAAGGTGTCTGGGATCACTGTGTGTACGGAATCTCTCCGCAAACTCCATCAATTTGTGCCACACCTTTATGAAACATTCAAAGTAATTATTCAATTTAATTTGTGAAAGTCAATATTGTAATAAGTTTTTAAGGATTAAGGGGTTTTACGGTAAATGTCTCCCCTTTTGAACCAACATTTGTTAAGATTGTAAATTTTAAGGTAAGTGTTATCCAAGATGTCTTATTAAAAAAGTTGAAATGAAATGATTCCATAGATAGTACAGTGTTTGTCAAAATAACATGTACATGTGTATTGCCTTTCTTTTTTTTCAAAAGAAAGTTCACCAACCTCTTTTTTAGTCCCTCCTTGCTTGACTATGGTGTCTGGTCCATTAAATATTCTCTGGTCGGTCACTCCACCATCAGTCAACAGAATAATGCGGGGGTGGATCTTACGCTCCCGGAATGTTACCACCCCTCCTGAAAGTAAAAAAATCACACAAATACAGTCAAATCTTGAACTCAAAAGGACCAAACAAAAACTTCAAGATATCTGAGGATTCGAGATGTCAGGCAAAAATATTTAATGAAAAACTGGACAGGACTTTCACATCACTTCGATTTATCCAGAGTATTGAGATATCTGTGTTTGAGATAATAAAGTATAACTCTACATTAAAGTCCATTCATCATCAAATCTTATTTTATTAACTGGATATTAATTATTCAAGTCTGCACACATAAAGATTGACATTGACATTGACATTGACATCCTTTTCAGTAAAATATTTATGTTTGTTTGTTTTTTTCTTCGTTAAATCTCTTTTAACCCAAATTTTTGAAGGGAAGTATAATTTTCAACAAAAACATGAAGTTTACTTAAACCTCGATTGTAGATGGCGCTCATACAGAGTACAAGACCAGTCATTATAGGACTAGGACCACCAGTTTCCAACAATTCTGAAATGTAAAAAGTAAAATATGTGATACAACCAATACCTTGAGATAATGTAAAAGTACTGTAGAAACACAAATTTTCAAAGGCATTTCATGTGGGATTTAATTTTGTTGATAATTGTTGACAAAGAAATAAACAAAATTTTATCCCCAATAATTTTTTTTGCTTTTACAGTACTTTATCTACAGCCTCATAATTCCTCAGAATTTCTGTTCAATTTACAGGTAGAAGATTATATAAGCAGGGTTTTTGTATATTGCCATTCAGATTTATATGCAAAATAGTTTACTAGAAAGCCTGTGCAATATTCACACATAAGAAAAATATCCTCCTACCTACTGCATCCCTGATTTTGGAATAGTCATTGGTCAAATTCTGGACAACTCTGGTTTCATTCCCAAATGTAACCACAGCTATATTTTCTTCTAGAGAGTTTTCAACAGCAACATCTTCTATACCTGTTGTAATAAAAAGAAACCTCTTGTTTAAAAAGCTTTGCATAATTATAATTCAAAAATTCCTTTCATATTGCAAACAAAATTCGAATATGTTTTTGATGTCTTACACTGTTAAAACAGCATTAATGCTCATTAAGCTCTCTGAAAGTCATCATTTCACTGTTTTAATGCTGTTAAAATGACAAAGTATTCTATACCCTCTAAGAAATTCTCGATGAATTCTGTGATTTGCTGGAATTTTTCTCCAGCCATGCTTCCGGAAGTGTCTATACAAAGAATGGTGTCTGCTCCTTGGGACTTGTGATCTGTGCAGTCCGCAGCTGAAATTGTAAATTAACAAAACTGCAGAAACCTCAAAAACTTCTGAGGATGAAGTGTTTAGAGTGGGTATGAGGTACACAAAATAGATACTTTTTCTTAAAAAGAGAAAAAATTCTGCTCTCCTGATTTATGAATGTATTTTAGAAGATTAAAAATTCTTCAAAATTACAATGTTTGGAATTAAAAAAGAAAATTGGTGAAATTTGGAGCAGAGGGATATTTCACCTTTACAACAGATAACTTAGTTGTATCACAATCAATTATTCTTACCTCTGTTTGCTTCTTTCAATGTGAGCTCTTCCAGTTCACTTTCAGTGAGAATTTTCAAGTCTGGTCCCCCATCTAGGATCAAAATCACAACAATATACATATGTACGTGTATATAATTGAAAGATTAGGTATGTACATTGTATATGCTACATAGAGAGATACCTCTCATGGAATGACCTAATTTTCTAACACTAAGAACATGAACATGTAAAGTTAAGTATTCATCGAGTTTGAATTTCAATAATTCCTTTTAAAAAGTTTCCCAATTTCCTCTCAAATGCAAAAAAAAAAATTGTTTAGTATTACAAGGGAGGTAACTCACAACTCTATCACAATAAATTGAATAAGATTTTACCTGGTCTGTCATCTGGTTCTTTTAATGATGATGCTAGAGAGGACCTGAAAAAAAATCAACGTAAAGTTAATATTTTTAACTTCTTAAAGAAATCCTTTACTGCTATCAGTAATCATTTCTCTCATCTGAAGAACTAACTTACGTTGGTTTGAGCGAGGATTTTAGAGAGTCAGTGGAAAGGCTCTGAAAATTTGAATTTTGAAAGTTTTGTTTTCCAAATCCTTGTTGTGTTGAGGCTTGAAATCCAGAAGCAGAGGACAATGGTGCAGACGTAACATTTGCTGAGGGTTCATCATCCGTATCTTCAGAACAATTCTCCACCTCAACCCTCATCTCTGCACTCTCCTGCAGATTTCTCTCTTGTCTGGAGGACCCACCCCTTTCCTCTCCTTCTGTTCCATCTCTCCCATCACTGTACAGAAATTTGATTCTATTGTCATTTGATCTTGCTGTTCGTTTGCACTTCAGCTTGCTGAATCTATCCTGAGTGTCTACAGCCTCAGTTTGTATCACTTCCTCCACCTTCTGATCTTCTGCCGCCGTCTGCTCTGGGACCTCATTCGCTGGCTGCACCTCGGGCTCTGTTGGGAAACCTTTTGGACTTACTGGGCGAGGTACTGGTAGGACATGACTAGTCACCTCTGGAGGTCTTTCTGCAGTGGTTAGATTCTCTGACTGACTACTTTGTTCCCTTTTTTCCTCATTCCTATGCTGACTGTCTGGGAGGTCTTCTTCATCATCAGACTGTGATGCCTCGGTAACTCTTGAAAAGTTTAACTCTTCCTGTGTTTCACTGTCAGGTGTAACAGCACTTATCACAGGAGCATACTGGGAAAGTTCTTCTGAAGAAGAAGGCTCTTCAATTCTTACCTCCTCTGAAAAAAAACAAAATTTCTAAAGCATTAGATTATCATGGTTTGTCTAAATAAAATTGAGAAAGTTCAGTTAACAACCTTCCAGAAAAAATGAAAGTTTTTTAGCTAATAATTTAATTAAAAAACGTAATGAACTAAAATCAAAAGCTTATTTTATGAAGTAAATTTCCTCTTGAATTTAGCAATTATATACACAAATTTAATATGTGCTCCTCATTAATAAAGATAGATATATTTATCCCCCCCCCCCTAAATTTGCAGTGTTAAAATACCAGTAATGATATTTAGGTAGAGGGCACAAATTTGTTACCAGTTGTTTCAATCCTGACTTCAGGTTTCCATTGGCTCTCATTTCTCTGACCTTGGTTTGACCTTTGACCCTGGTTCTCAACGAATCTCCGGGATTGGCTGATATCTTCTGGCTCTGGCTCCTCCTGTCTCTTTGTTAATCTAACTGGCTGCTGGACTATTGGGGTAACATGAGCTACGGGCGGATTGATGGACAGACTTTCGGACATCCTCTGGACACTATACAGAAGTTGGTTGAGGACTCCCTGCATTTCATTGACTCTTGCATACAAGTCAGGGAGGAGGGCAATTTTCTGTGATAATAAAATTAGAACTGGCTTTTTCCAAAAATAACCAGACAAGATAACCATAAAATGACTGACATTTGTTTTATGTTGTTTATTTGAATGTTTGGCTTTAATATTATTATTTTTGGTTTGTTTGTTATTGTTTAAATAAGGGGAAATCTGTTTAAATCGGAAAATTTCCTACCTCTTCCATTCTGGCGAGAAATTGATTGTTGCCATCTAACCCCTCCCCCATTCTCGTTGACTTCAGCAAACCAGGATTATGAGCTTTAAAAAGTGAGAATTAGCTAGGTTTATTTTGAATACAGTAATTAATAAATAATTTTATTTAAAAGAGGCATTTTTTGAAGCAAAAGCAAATGAGAGCAATATTGAAACTACTGGTATGGTGTACTTACATGTCGGGTGAATTTCTCCATTATACTGATGATATGATGCCATTTCATATACAGTTCACGGCCATCCTAAAATTAGACAATAACATTAATTCCTGTACAGTATAGCTATTTCTTTATTCCTTTTACACCCCCCCCCCCTTCACCCCGCTACATGCCAAAAAAGACATTTAATGAAAAGGTCCTTCATCAAGACCAAATTTATTTTTTAAAAATTCATCCGATTTTTTTTATGAAACATGCATCCACCCACCCACCCTTAAAGATGAGCTATTTGAAAAACATACCTTTATTACATATGCTATTGAATCCTACACAATATATAATCAAATCCCCTGTGTACATTGCAGATCTATATAGTATTTTAATATCACATAATATAGAGGAACTGAGGATATCATCAAAATGATACAATTTTGGTTGACTCTGAAAATAGCTTCCAGGAAGTTTGATTATTTGCAGTATTATGGAGAGGAAATTAATGTCTTTAGCATCCCAAGTTCTTTTTTCCTGGTTCTATGTTAATCCTTCAATGAATTCATGTACAGCTCTAGAAACAGAGTTAAAATAATCATAGACATAGCAATCTGTATTTTTTTAAGTATTGTCATCTTCCACTTTTAAAGTCAATTGCTTGTTTAAAGGAGGGTCAGATTGATTTTTTTTTATATCATGCACTTATGGAATTAAAATTTGAATCTCTAATCATATTTCTGTTTCTTTCAAGACATTCTTAATTTCTCAACCACTTTAAGTCTTTTTGTCCATATCCTAATCCTTATAAAAACAAGATTGATGTATTTGTGATTCACTGATGCTCCCATACAACAAATTGCGTCACAAGAAATTCATACATAAAATATAAAATCCCTGGCACCAACTGTTAACAAGTTATGGCTAAAGATTAAGTTTTTCAAAAGTAGGTCAAAAGTCAAGATAAAAATTGTTGGTACCCAAAGGAAGGTCACAAGGAATACACATGAGAAACATGAAAACACTCAGTGCTTTCATGTTTCATAAGTGTATTCCTGATACAGTAAAACTTGGTTATAACGAAGTCGCTGGGACCTCTGAAATTACTTCGTTATATCCGTAATTCGTTATAACCATATAATATATTCATTAAATTTATATAGCTGGGAATCCAAGATGACTTCGCTATATCCGTAAATTCGCAATAGCCGTGTTCGTACTAAGCAAGTTTTGCTGTAGTTCTATCTGTTCAAAAGATATGCCAAGAATAAAGTTTTTCAAAAGTGGGTCAAACTTAAAGGTCAGGGTAAATAATATTTACACTCAAGGAAAGGTCTTGTCATAATAAGTATACATACACATCTGAAGTATTAAAACCTAGATATGGCCAAGGTAAAAGTTTGGTAATTTATTGCCTAAATGGGTCAAGGTCAACAGGTCAAATAGCTTGGTACATAAAGGAAGGACTTGTCACAAGGAATGCACATGTGAAATATGAAAGCCATAGCTCCAACCAATCAACAGTTATAGCCAAGCTATAGGTTAAAGTTTTTGTGAACAAACTACATGTATAACAGCTATACAGACAGATAGACAAGCCAAAAACTATATGCCCTTAAATCTTCAATATTGTGGGGGCATTAAAACCTATTCTTCAAAAATTAGATAAATCCTTCTGAGATGGTGAAATGTGTGAAAGTTTAGTAAATGTATATTTTAAGCCATGCCCTTTAACCTCTACAAGTACATTTTAGCCTTGTAATAATTATAAGCCTATCCTCACAACATCAGGGGTCTTGGGTCATGCACTTGTGGTCAGTGGACCCCTGAAAAATTTCATTCAATATTTTATGGGCTTGCTTCTTTCACTGAGAAGAACCAATCAGATTATCAGAGTAGGCCTGACTTTCATAAGTTTACATAACATGTATACAGAAATCTCCCCAAAAGACCTCACTACAGTTTAAGTCTGTATATAACATTGAACGAAATTTGTCCAGTGGGGGTTCAATGGCCATATAAGTGTAATCAGGACCCTGGATATTATGTGGATGTGTTTACATGTATTTATATTGAGATATTTCATTTGAGAAACAGAATTAGCATTTTAATCTAACAATCATATGCTTAAGTAATCCAATGTTTTAACCCACACAATTTGGTCAGGGACACTAATGATCAGATTAATAAGGTTCAATTGTAAACATTTTACAGAATTATGTCTTTTTAACACATGTATTATTATTATTATTTAAAAATAATTATATAAATGTATGTGTTTATCACTAATAACTATATTCGTAATTCGTTATATCCGTATAACGAATTCGTATAACCATATATAGCGAATTCGCAATATGCATGTTTTCCTTCAAGTGTTACTATCAAATATGTTAGGGAAGCAAATATTACAAAACATACCTTCGATAACTAAGGTTTTATTATGAATTGAGTTTTATATACAAATGCTGAAAGAAAACAAAGTCAGTTTAATTGATCAAATTTTGAGATCTTTGAAAGTTCGTTATAAAAGATGTAAAATTCATTATATTTAACCTCAACGGGACTCAAAATCACTTCGCTGTATCCGTAAATTCGTTATATCAGAGTTCGTTATAACCGTAGAATTTTACAAAGATTTGTTAAGAATTTTGCCTAGAACGTTATATCCGTGAATTCGCTATATCCGTGTTCGTACTAAACGTGTTTTACTGTATGTGTTTATCACTAATAACATCAGAGATCGATGAAACTCCTAGTCCTAGTCCGAAATATCTGACGTTGGGGGGGGGGGGGGGGGCGTCGTATTTGGGACTAAACACCTTTCGTTTCCTAGACCCAAAGGTAATTCATTTGTTTCAAAATGAAACTAAATCCCGGACTAAACACCTTTCGTTTCCTAGACCCAAAGTTAGTTCATTTGTTTCAAAATGAAACTAAATCCCTTAAGATAATTTCATAAATATGGGTATTATTAGATTAACCACAATAAAATGGTATTAAATTCAACAAACTAAATCAAAAATAGACAAGTTTCTTTACATTGCAAATTGATTTTTGTTAATCTACTTACGATGCATTGACATTGTGTACGTTGAACCATGACCACCCCCCTTTTTTGGCAAACTTAATATTACATAGTAGTCTTTTAAAATTATTTATTCCCTATTTCATCGGGGTCTTAAACACTAAAATAAATTACTTACAACTCCTCTTGGTAAACATGTATAAAACTTAAATGAGTCAATTTCCGATGAACCTCTAGCAAAATCGAAAGTAGTTCTTGATTGTCAAACTCTGGGAAATTCCCTAACGGAATTAAAAATTACCTGTTCTATATTTAGGCATCACGATTTGTTTCATATAGTTTCTGTTTTTATTAAAAATTATCATTTTGTGTACACAGTTGTTATATTTGTTTTCAGTTGTCTTAAGTTTGTTAAATCTTAAGATTAATTACGAGCTTGATTTGTCTGAAAATAATCAAGGCATTCTGAAAAGTTTGCGCGGCCCTTGTCAAAAACGCAAATGTTTTCACCTCCCAACATCTGCCTCTTTCATGTCATCTTTATCTATTTTCAAAGCTTATAAATTTATTTCAAAAGCGTCAGAAGCAAATTGAAGGGGGGGGGGGGCTAAACCAAAAAAGGTAAGCCGCAATTTTCAATGCCTGTAACATGCACAGGGGCTTGACGGTATAACGTCCAATCTTTGAAAACTTTTTTCACAGTTTTTGATATTTTACGTGTAGGAAATTATTAACAAAATTTATGGATGTTTTCCAGCCACGTAAAATATCAAAACCGTGAAAAAGCCTGGAAAAAGTCAGATATTTTAGACTAGAAATGACCTAAAAAGCGGCGTAGGCCATCTGACAGAAACACATAATTATTTAATAATTTCATAACTTTTACTGATCCAAAACAACACAGTTAAGACGAAAAATGATTGAATAAATAAAGGACATTGCAAGGTCATTCATTTGCAAATAGGATGAACCGTTTTCTGATGGTGAGTACATCTTGGGACACTACCCGACGCTGTAAATAAGTGGGACAACGTGATAAAAATACACATCCGTATTCATGACGTTAATACTAGTACAGAGATCTTCAGTATCTTGAACACTGAAGTCTAAAAAACCATGGATATTTTAAAGTTAATTGTAGGTCCCAACCATTTTTTTTCTTTTGAGTATTTTTACTTGGATTTCTCTGTTTTCCATTGGTCCCACCAAGTTCAAGATAATGAAGTTTGACTGTATAATGAATCTAACTGACATCAGGATGTTTTCTGTAAAAATAAAAAGCTGAGGTGTGATGCTTGTATACATGTATAAAGTATTCATGCTGATAACATTCATTATAATATGTACTGCACCTATCTTCATGACTAGAATTTGATGAAAAAGTTAAAAAGAAAAAAATATGTGCAGCAGTTATCCATCCAAGGGTAATACAGGCTCACCATTACTTAACATTTCTGAAATAGAGGAAGACTCTGGAAAAGCTAACTCACCAGCAATGCAGTACACTACAAATTCTTGAAAACGATACAAAATGGATAAGCAAGATTACTTTCTCAATCGGAATAACAAAAAAATTCATACACATATGTACAAATTTTATTAGTTTTATTAATATACAATGTATACATAAACATGAAGAGAAATGTACACACTTATCACTGATTGTACGAATATTTTATATACACTAAGGAGGTAACACTTTTAAGACCATTAACTTTCGGGAATGGGCAACATCTACATAACAATGGTTTTGAATACTACTGCATCATAAAATGATTGTAATCACCATATATTAATTAACCAATTGTCAATAACAATTAACAATCTTAAGAACAAGAAAAACAGGCAAATATTTTTTTTGGTTCTTGATATATTCCTTTTCAAATACTGTGGATTTTGCATTTATTATTTCTGTGCACCAATTTTTGATTCAACCAAGAAACTTACACAATAAAACATAAATCACAACTCAAATCAAATAAATGATGAAATAGACACAAATACTGAGAATTTCATCTCTTTATATAATTTCGAATAACCGTAAAGAAAGTTTCTTTCAAAATAAACTTTTAAAAAATTCTATGGGTGTGTATAGAAAAAAACTACTGGCCTTTGACCTCTTGGAAGAAAAGAGCCTGGTCAACTTCTGAAGAAGACAGACGTATTAATAACTATAGACTAGAAAACATTTTCACATATTATTATCTAAAAGTTTGAGCTAAATTTCTGTTATTAGATATTTCAATCAAGATAAAACCTGACTAGTTTTCTTGCAATAAGAGTGAAGCAATTAATGAATTTACAAATTGGACAAAATAATTTACAAAGAGAAAATAGATTATCATTATCAGCATTTACAAACCCTTTGTACAATTACATAAAAATAAAACAGATACAATGTGCATAAATTCACAAATCATGTGCAACACGTGTAATGATTACAACTAAGAATGTGTATCAGTGGGAAAAGATAATACTACCCTCATACAATGAAACCTGTTTATTGTGAACACAGTCAATAAATGTTTATAAATGAAAAACACAAATTATTATCCCCAAGAATGAATGCATTGTAAATCATGGAATTCTTATTGGATTTAATTGGTTAATTTACAGTGTCAAAGTGCACAGACTGACAAAATCAAACTTTAATGAGTAAAGTGGCATGGTGCAGCACAAATTAATGAAGTGGGCTGTTTGAATGACTATTTTAATAAAGCTTGATAATTCGAAATAGCTTGAATTTGCCTTTAAGTAGATGAATGTACATAAAAACCAAATTCAGTACATGCTCTTATCTATAAAAGAAACAGGAAAAATTCTGCTGTAATTCACTGCTCTTGAGTTTTACTACAGATGAAATGAAACTTCTGTAAAATGTTTCAAAATCTTTATCTAATGAATGTATACACGTCAGTTTCAAAAACCATTCACTTCATTCATGCAAGCATTTATTCATGCCAAGAATCACTACAAATTATGTCTGAAATGAAAATCCAGGAAAATGTACAACTAAGTACTTCATAACTGTAGTATTAGAAAACTTATCTTACTGTCATCAAATTTCATGAAATTTATAAAAATCTGTTGCACAATAATCAAAATATTGAATTTACAAAAATGGAATTACTACTGCTAATTGCTTTGAAATATTGAGTTTAAAAGAAAATTGAGCATTTCCACAGTGTTGTAAAATTCTCCTGAATTAAAAAATTTCATATGGACATGTACATGCATCTAAAGTCTTTTCTGAAAAGCGGAATAATAAGCACAAAATACATAAATGCCTATAGTACATATAAATTGTCCCCTTTTAAATGGCCCCAAGCTCACTAAAAAAAATCACCTTTCATAGAAAGGATTCATAAAAATTTCTTACAGTATAAGGGAGATAATTCATTATATTCTTTGACAACAACTTTTCTCTGATTTTTTGTTTTAAACTGAAAGGAATCAGAAGCAATTACTTTCTAGGATCTACACTTGTATTTTTCTTATTGGTTAACCTACATGTATGTAGTGTACAATAAGTTAAGGAGGCTAGTGGGTCAACGAATTATTTTTTTATTAACCACAAGATATAACTTAAATTTTGGGATATGATATCTTAAGCTTTCAACTATCATTTGGCAAAGAAAAATTTCATAAATTTTAGTTTTAAAATTTGATCATTTTATTATATCTTTATATGGAGCTCTTCTTTTAAAGGAGATCAAAATAGTCTAAAAATGGCCACAACCACCCAGCCCCTTTAAATCAAGGGGTACATGGCACTCAAGCTGGTTTTTATCTAAGTAACACATAGCTATACATACGCATGCATTTTACAAAATAAATTAATGAGTCTTATCAAGTTAAAATATATCCTATAATATATACAATATTGTTGATTTTTGTACAAACAATTATAAGATATCATTTATATATACATGTATTAGTACACAAATCAACATTTTTTTTTTAATTCTCTACAAAGTTTGTACAATACTTGCCTTTCTTTGGATGGACTTTTTCTTAACATTTTTCTAGCTACACCCCTGCTATGAACATTTACTACTGTAACTTTGCCTTGATATTTACCAATGATTTTTCAATACAGAACAAAACCAAAGTCCATATGTCTACAGTATATACAGTGTACATGTAGTGATCTGGTATCCTAACAAACCAAGCTGAAATTTCCTAAAGCCGAAAAAGCTACAGAAGTTTTTAATCAGAAATGGAGACAAGAAGGCACAATAAAGAAGTAACAAAGCAGCGTTTAGAAAAGGATAGGTTTATCTTTGACTGTGTCCTTGACGTAGCCTGTGAATCGTTTGAGGAACTTGGGGTACTCTCTCTTGTACACAGCTCTCAACACAGAGGCTGGGGCCCATCCTCCTGGGTTAACTGAAATTAAGGCACAAATCTGTGAATACCACTTTCTCTTTTTTAATACGCTGCCTTTAGTCTTTATAAAGTTCTACACACTAGGTAAAGTACACGTACAAAGAAAAACAAGTGTTTCAAATATTTTAATCCTTCACTTGTAACTTAGTAAATAGATATACCGGTCTTTCTTTTGTAAACATAGGTCATTGCTTTTTTAATCTTTATTCCATACATATATTTCTGATATTTTAAAACACTCAGATTTTCATCTGAATACTGAATATCAAATTATTATGCATTTGACTGGATGTAAGCGCAATGAACAATCTATTCAGTAAAATAAGGATTTCAATTCTGATTAATATGAGTGTTGATGTACCTTTATATTGTCTACTTACCCTCTGCGGTGTAGCTGATTTTACACTTAATGTCGTCACGACTGATATTACCATCAGCAGGTGGATCAATGATGGTCTCACATATCATGGCCACATTCATTTTAACTCGCACATACTTGTTCTAAAAAAATGAAATGGATTATCTGAAAATCATCACCTGCTTGTTTTCTTAATCATTAGCTTCTGTACAAGTTTATACCGTGTAATATATATGTAAATTATGACTCAATTTTGTGAAGTATTTTGCATGTTTTGTTAATAGGGAAATTTTACACTGAATAGGTGAACAAATATATAACTGAAATTTACGGGAATTTTGCTGTCCTCCGTTGAGTAATTGACGACAATCCACCTGTCTGGATCCTCGTCATTCTTCCCTGTCACATGACGGAGGTGTGACCAGAAGAGGGCGTCTCTCTGAGAGGCCGGCCACACCCTCTTGATGACGTTGTGACTGATAAAAGTGTCCTCAGCCAACCACTCAGTACAGACACTGGACTCAAGAGTAGCTGTCAATCAAAAAAGTCAAAGATGGCAAAGATATTAACAACAGGAATATTCCATATTGGCTATTGAAACTATCAATAAAAATGAAAATTTTTCTACTTAGACTAAATGGGGGATATTTGTGGAAAAAGTACAACAGAGGAAGTCTTTTAGCCTATAAATTGTATTTACAATCATAAAAATTTAAATGTATTCATACCATCCCAATCCAAGCGTACATCAATGCTCCAGAAGTAATGGCAAACCTCATGGCCAGTAATACCCTACAAATATTGAATTTCATTAGAAAATTCAAGTTTTACATGATACGCATAAATACTGTATGAAGAGACATTTTTGGCACAGTTTTATTTTAACCCCATTTCCTTAACCAAAAAGTGGCCATGTTTAAAATGGTAATAAATCACATTTACAAGCAATTCTAATTTTGACCAGACAGTTGGGTTATAGTGACAATGCTTTTTTAAATTTTTTTTGTTTTTGGAAAAATACTGCATACCGAAAAAATCATGTATACTAAATGTAGTTTTTACACAATTTACAACCCGTAAAAACTCTACAGAAGAGATAGCATGATCCAAACCTTGACCACATAGGAGGCCTTTAGGGGGTCGATGACAACACCGTCTACTTCCAGCTCCTTCTTGTACACCTTGAGGTCTCCCTCCTCCGCGATCACCTGCCAGGTGTCCTCCCCGCCCTCCGTCTTCTCGTCCATCCTCTTAAGGTGGTTGTCCACAAGCTGGTTTATCTGGAATATAAAATGGAATAATAAATAAACAATATCTGTAAATATACATTAAAATTTTCAAAGAAACGCTTGCAAAATGCAAAATATGCATCCAACATAAACTACCTGTCTATTTTTAACTTTCTTTCTCTATTCAAATGAGCTTTTAATTTTGATTTTACCTCATTATACAATGGATGTTGTGAATTTAAGGATATCTTGGAATGGTGAGCAGGTTCTGTGGCTTTCTCAATCTGAAATCAAATCAAAATTTCTATATTTAACTTGTATACACATGGTGATGGATGTGTCTAATTTCAGTTTACTGATAATGTTGAAATGCATGTACATGTACACTGATGTTAAATATTCAATAGATCTTTGAAAATTTATTAAGACTGAAGTACACTGATATTCAAGGTACATGTATGTAACATATGCTCAATTTCTTCCTAATTCCTCAAAAGAGCTTAGCATTTAAAAAAAATCTTCATCTACAAATCTACCTGTTCACTTTATAATCAGTAATTCATACATAAACTTAGGTTATCATAAGGTTTCAAACTTTAACTATATACAATATACACATGTATGTTGGTATGAAAAATCAAGAAAAAAGGAGTTTACCCTCATTTCATCAAATTTTTCTTCTAGTTTGTCTAAACCTGCATCAACAGCATCATAGAATTCTTCCTCTTTCATCTGGGAGTTGGGACCCTCCTTTAAAATATATATTATTTACAGAAATGATTGCTACAGAAGGATATACAATTCAAATGTTTCAAGTCTCAATTCATGCTATTTCAGTGCTCCAAGTCGCACTTACTTTTAGGTCGCTAAATGGCGACCTAAATGTTTTTTTGGTCGCCATTTCAGAATTTCTGGTCGCCATTAACAAATTTTTCACTCGCCATGAGGAAAACATGTGAATAACACAATTAAAACAATGAACTAACATCCACATGTGTTATGTTTTTATTAAATCAAAGATTATTGATTACTGTGGCTAGAAATCTTTTCGTAGTTGAAGGATACATTTTTATTAAATACAACCACCCTTTGTATAGTACACAGAAGAACACACGTAATATGATCCTAGAATTAAAGTTTAATCAAAAGAAAATAAAACTTTGACAGTTGTTGAGACAGGATTGCCAATTGTTTATCATATTTACCTGTTTACTTACTACTAAGTATCTTACCCATAGTGCAGTCGATATCAATGCCGCAAAAACACTTAATTAATTGATATATGCAAGCCATTGACCAAATACTTTAAAAACCAGGTCAGAGAAACTCTAGAAAGTTTGGATGCCATTCTCTCGGAGACGTTATGTATATACGTTTCTGGTTCTATCAAACTTTACTATTACAGCATGCTGTCATAACATTACGTGATCCAATTCCAAACGACACTTTGTAAAGTGTGTTAAAGTGTATATCTTCAAACATTGTCTTGATAGAGAATCTTGAAAACGTAAATCTCGATCCCGATCATAAAAAGATGGACGTTGCCAGCCCAAATTTTCTCAATCGCGAAAATGCGACTTAGTTTTAATTTTGCTAGTCGCAAAACCAATTTTTTGGTCGCAAATGCGACCGTTTTAGTCGCAACTTGGAGCACTGTATTTGTCAGTAAATGGACAGAATTAACAAACCTCAAAGTCAGGTCCCCCTATGATGAGCTTTTGCTTTCCTCTGTCCAAGGATGCAGACTTGTAAGCTTCCTCAAACTTCTTTCTCCTTTCAACCTCCTAAAAACAAATAATACAAGAAGAAAATTGAATGAATTTTTCATGGATATGGTGTCTTCTTTTTTTTCAAACTACAAAAATGAAATAAAGTAAACACTATATCAAGTCAGATAAACTAATCAACAGCTTCTTTAAATCAGTATTCTTTCTAAAGACTTTAATTTTGTGAGACGTATGTGATAGCATTTTACTTATTTACAAAATATAACCCCACACAATATGTAATTTAGCTTCATTTTTTTTAATCTTGATTTTATTTACTCTTGATTTTATTATGGAATAGATGTCACAAAGTAATCGTTAAATACACCTATAAATAAAAGGTTTTGCAAATGAACTGCTTCTCTGACCTAACTGTTAACTTTTGAGATAAAAATTCTCTCAAATTTCATTTTTTTTTTTAATTTGAGTGTGTGCATTGGGAAGGGAGGTTGGTTATGCTATGTCTGACCTTTTCCAGTCTCTTTTTCCATGCGTCCTCCCTCTGACCCATCAGTTCAATACAATGGGTCAGGGTGTGTATAATCCCCATCGTGGTAGCTTTAAATGTCAGGGCCTCTCCTTTGAAATCCACTGCATGCCCCCCATGTTGTTGTAATATGGATGCTGAAATTATGGGATATTTTACACAATTGTATAAAATAATTCATAACTAGATGTTTGAAACTTTATACATGTATATCTGCAAGTATGTATTTCTCAAGTACAATAAAACTATTTATGTGTATAAAAAAAATTGTGATGATTTTCAAGATAACACCTTCAAAATTTCTTAAAGAATAATTAGCATTTACTTATATTTCTTTATGAAAACTGCATGTAATTTGAATGCTGACCTAGGTCTTTGCCCTTTGGACTGTTGAATATTTGACCTTGCTGATCTGTTCCAGATGCATCATGGGGGTCATCTGGGTCCCCAATGTCATCTTCATGCACTGCAAAAAGAATGTAAAATATGTCTCAACAGGTATTTTAAGATTTTCTTTTTCAAATAAATCAAAAATGCCCTTTTCCAACTTTAACTTTTAAACTATTTCAGTTATAAATATAGTCATGGAAAGCACTGTTTTTAAAAAAAAATTTCTAAAAACAATTTGAAGTGAATTGCTAACAGCACATGTATAACACCTACACTCTTGGACAGCACCATGCGACACAGCAGATGCACAGCTGTCAAAGTAGCCCTGTAATGTGTCAATCTGACGACATAGGATGTCTCGGAATGTTTCCATTTCTGCCACTTTCTCTGACAGACCACGCCCCCTCTACAAAGTTAGAAGTCAGAATTTAATTATAGAAGGTAATAAGAAGATCTACTCATTCAAATTGCTTGTCAATATCTACATCTGTGTAACTATCATGGTCTAGTCATAATCATCCAATTTGCAGTATTAGAATGTATGACGGTTATAAAGCTCTTTAAAGACATATAGTTATAAATTTAATATCATATGCTATTTCAAAGTACAATAAGTCAGTGATTTCTTTGAAGTAGTCTATCTTTTGCAAATAAAACGGTGCAAGGCAAGCTTTGCTATCATCCAAATGTATATCTTCAATGTAGAGCCAAATCATCTATCTTGTGATGGGATTAAGTTAATTCCCTTTGTAAGATTTATGGAAGTAGCAGTCAAGCACTGGACACTTGGGTCAGTTGGGTCAGTGTACTCACTTTAAATGAGGATGTTGAAGTGGTGGACATACTACATGTTGATGTAAGTGACATAAGGGATCCATGGCGACGTAAATTGTTTTCACTGCCATATCCTGACTCCGCTTGCTGGAAAACCAATTACAATATAGTACATGGTTCAACAACATTTGAAATTATAATTAACTATCAGAAATCTTTCTCAAGACATGACACAATATAACCAAATGCTGTAAATTATAACTAAATGTACTTTTTCCCTGCATGAGATTAATTTATCTATGTATCTAGGCAAGCAAAATTTTCTGTAGAAATTTGTCCTGGCGTACAAAATGTTAATTTCAGACATAAAAGAGCAATCCAAGAAATCTGTGTAATTTTTTACTTGTGAAATTAACAGGAATTGCGATTCTGCGAAAAATAAAATGTCATGGAAACAAGAATATTAACAGTATCTTTGTTCATACCCTGTGCAGCTCAATGGCATTTATCCACTTCTGTCTCTCTTCCTCATCCTTGGCCCTCAGGTACCAAACACTGTCGTTCACCCCCACATCAAAACGGCACTCGTCAAACTGGTGGGGCTACAAAATAAAAGGACACTTGTCAAACTGGTAAGGCTACAAAATAGTTACAAAATAGTCAATAAAACAGCACTTTTCAAACTGGTGGGGCTACAAAATAGTCACAAAATAGTCAATAAAACGGCACTCGTCAAACTGGTGGGGCTACAAAATAAAAGGACACTTGTCAAACTGGTAAGGCTACAAAATAGTCACAAAATAGTCAATAAAACGGCACTCGTCAAACTGGTGGGGCTACAAAATAGTCACAAAATAGTCAATAAAACAGCACTTTTCAAACTGGTGGGGCTACAAAATAGTCACAAAATAGTCAATAAAAAAGCACTCATCAAACTGGTGGGGCTACAAAATAGTCACAAAATAGTCAATAAAACAGCACTTTTCAAACTGGTGGGGCTAAAAAATAGTCAATTAACTGTAAAACAAGTTTTACACAAATGGTGCTCACTGAAAGTAAAAACTCTACTTCAGAAAAATCTTACCATCATTGTATGTGTTATCAAGTAATATTCCTCATGAAGATCTAGAATTTTATTTTTAATATAGGATATTCATATCACGAGTATATAGAAATGGATATTTTTGGAAATCCTACATGTACACAAGAAAAGAAAAAGTTGCATGGATTCCAGACTTAAAGAAGCTGTACAAAATGTGGTACCTCTTTCATCCATTCTAATAATACAGTTTTAAGAAAGGGATGAAAATTGTTCTATATCATTTGGGTGGATTCAAGACCAGGAGCTGAATTGTTTGGATTGGAGTTTAGCTCTAAACATGAAAGAAAGGCTCACAAGGAGGATGTAATGGAATTTATTAACTTCTCTCTTCTTCTGCCAATGTTTATGATAAAGTTATTATTCTAAGAAATCTGGATTCTGGTCTGGTAATACATGAGCATTCTAGAAATTCAACAGGTTCTTGCATGTGTAACAATTTTTACACAATACAAATTATCCTGGTATAAGGACACTGTGTCAATGACCAAACTACAAAGTTTTATTGCTTTCCTGTCATCATAAATACACAATCCTACATACACATTCCTAAAAATGCATTCTTTGCATTCTGGCTTGTTGCAGAACAAACAGAGAAGCTTAGTGTCTATACAAACGAGTCTGTCTGTTACATCTACTTAACCTGTTACAGATAAAGTTGTAGATATATACCATTAAAATATTGTATTCATGTGATAGCACTAGCTTTCAAGATGTTATGACCTACCTAATTATTTTCTTTCAAAGGGCAATAACTTTACATCCAGACATTCAGTAAATTAACAAATAACAGTGCCTGCTAATGACCCTTTGAAAATATATTTATAAGGTTTATTGTACTATGGAGCTAATTCAACTCATGCTGTTACATTACATATATTCTGTTTATTACATTACATAAATTCTGTTTATTTAAACATTACATGCTACATTCTTCCCTTCTTGAATTTCTTCCCTCTCTTATTTACTGGTATGTTTTCGATTTCATATCCAATATCAATATCATTTTATCATTACCTCCTCCCCGATATGTTTTGATTATATACACCCCCTTTTTACCTCTTAAAAAGATCCAGTTGAGGCATCCTTTTATGATACACTATACCTCTTTATGCAGACCTATACTCTATTACAGATATATTATAACAATATCTGTGCTGAATGATTTATCATTAGAAATAACTAATCACTTCCACAGATGTTACTCTAAAAACACAAATGCTCAGCAGTGCCAGTATGTGTATATACCGAATAATATACTAGCTAGTATGTATAGGTGCCGGTTGATTGACTAATTTTTGCAAAAATATCTCAGATATTTTATCAAAAAACCATATAGATAAAACATATATGAAGAAAGATATATTAAACTGCGTACAAGATAAGCTAACACATTTTAAACACTTAAAGTCGTGAGTTGAAGTGCATGTGTCAATGTTGATCTTGACCTACTTGCAGGAATCCATCATCAACACAACACAATGAGATAAAACAAATAAAGTGCATGTACTTTTTCTTGCCAGACCCTTATTCGTGCATTTATATTAGCCTACAATCTTTAAATTAAAATTTCAAAAATTGACAGCCATGCATGAATAAGGAAAAGTACAATGTACATGCTCTAACATGTCTATTATTTTCTCTCATATCTGATATCATATGCATACATATTTTTTTTAGTCTTAATCTATAGTTAACCATTAGTTATTATGTTTGGCAATAATTATTCATTTTTTGCTGCATTCATTTTTTTAGAGCGGTTTTCATGTACAAATCCTGAAAATTGTAATAATATTTCATCCTCCCTTAACTATTCTGCATTTCACCGAAGTATAAAGGAAAAATTCAATGGCTAGTGCAATTGACAAGCATGTGGTTTTAATATTATGAGTTTTATGACTCATGTGTATGATAAAACTGACTGACTACCACAGCAGACCATGACAAGGTCATATCTTGGTTAAAATGATTAAGAACTGGCCTACATGGGGATGATTAATTGAAAGTTGGAACTGCCTCTCCGACTGTTTATATAGATATTGTAACTTCAGGGTAGATTTTATTGCCTTTCCTGAAACCAATACTAATGAATATCTTCATCAAATTGCCAGCCTATATATTGTATCTGTAACAGCTTTTATTTATACCATCGAAATTTTATAGCTAAGTGTTTTGGGTCTGGAGTAAGTAGGTTAATATACACTCATGCAGTCTGATATTATGATTTGGCAGCTGAGTTGTATATAAAATATTGTGACCAAATGTCAAGATAATGTGAGAAAAATAAAATAAATCAATGATGGAGGGGGATAAAAAACAGGTTTTCTGAATCATAAACTTTAGTCAGTGTATGTATTATAATAGTGTGGGTGTTTGTTCCTCTCTATACAGTATAATGCAGTATTGGAGTGGGTGTCACACCTTGGACTTGTTCTGCTCTACTTTTAAATATGTCAAGAAGTGTTGTTTAGATTATCATATAGCAAAAATATTTATCTTATCATAAAAATTAAAAAAAAAAAATTAAAAAATAAATAAATAAAATCTAGAGAATATCTTGGCCAGGTAAATGAATTAAAAATAAATGAATAACCATGTTCTCCTTCACCTGTGTCTGACTCCTACTGCCCTGGGGTTATAGACATTTTGAATGGTATTTTGTCTGTAAGATTCAAGATTTATAGCAATGTAAATAAATTTACTCCTTACACTGAGTCCAGGTATTTCATACACCTCATGTTTCTGTACTCTGTATAGTTTGACAATTTATGTCATTACTGCATTTCTTAGAATGCATACTTAATTGTACTCACGCATTACCCCTTTCATGCAAATCAGCAATATTTCTCTAACAGGTGAACGAGAAACACATTGTGTTCATTTAATAACTGATAAAAAAAATTAAAGTGTCACTGTGTCTGACTGTGAATGTTTTGTTAAAAAAACTTAATAGTTATTTACAGAGAAATTATGACATACAATCTTGGTTATAATGAAATCCATAGTTTCTAAAATTCCTAGCATGAGAATACCCGGTACCCAAAGAACTTTCAATCTTGGGCATCTTATTAAGTAAACATAAAACCTTTAAGATCCTTTAAAAACAAACTTTGCAAGAAAAAAAAAATTGAATCCTTATTCTTAACATTCAAGAAACTGTCTGCTGAATATCATGTAAACCATTGTTATAAATGAAATTCAAGTTTGTTAGTAACTAATTCACTTGTGTAACTTGATTATTTCAAAACTAATTTTATTTAAAATATAATTTAAACTAGAACTGTCCAAACGGGACAAAATACCCCCCGCTGGGTTTTTCAGAAGTAAATTTTTCCATAAGAATTTTTTTAAAAAGGTTTCCCTATATAGATATGCATCAAACATGAATTATGAAATTTTTCTTCCAGTGACCTTAGAGTTCCCCAAATGACCTTGGGTCAAGGTCATGACACACCCTTGGATCATGGACAATCTTTGTGTGAAATGAGAACCTACCAAGTTTATCCATAAGAAAGATATGGATCGGACACAAATTATGAATTTTTTCTTCCAGTGACCTTGAAGTTCCCCAAATGACCTTGGGTCAAGGTCATGACACACCCTTGGGTCATGGGCAATCTTTGTGTGAAATGAGAACCTACCAAGTTTATCCATAAGAAAGATATGGACCTGACACGAATTATGAAATTTTTCTTCCAGTGACCTTGAAGTTCCCCAAATGACCTTGGGTCAAGGTTATGACACACCCTTGGGTCATGGGCAGTCTTTTTGTGGAGTAGTAGATTCTAATGTCTCTCCATAAGAAAGATATTGACCGGACACGATTGCACAGACAGACAGACAAGGTGATTCCTATATACCCCCCCAAACTTCGTTTGCGGGGGGTATAAAAATACATCGAGTATATCATAGGTTTTCAAAAAGACATTCACATTATTTCAAATTCATATAAAATTCAACAAGCTACTTGTTAGCATTTAAATGAAAAGGTTACAATTTAAATATATGTGAAGTTCTTATTAAATTATTAACCATTTTAATACAATTTTGAATTTTAAATTTCCTCATACATTGTGATTCTGCAGTCAACACTTAACTCATGTACAATTTTGTTTACAAATATATTTCTTATTTATCTAAAAGGAAGATATATACTCAACAAGTGGTTCCAAAGATAACAACAAATTGAATATATAAATGGCAGCATAGATAATACATTTTTCCTGTATGTATAATCATTATAAATAAAGAACAACATTATAAGGAAAGAATCCTTCCTTTAAAAAATGTAAATTAAGCTTTTCATTCTACTTTTTTTTTGTTTATACACAGTTTAACATTAAATTTTATGGTTTGTAAGTTTAGGTTTGAGGAAATAAAGAAGACAACATTTATCTGGTGTTGATTCACATTCTGCCTACTAATCTACTTATCTGAAGGAAAAAAAACAGTCTATTTCTCATTTACAAATTAATTTTAAAAACAAACTGAATGAGAAGAATAGCTTTCTTTAATATTATTTTGTTATTGTGGTGCTTTTTCCCAGGGAAGAAATTGAATGAAACATTATAATTCATATATATAGTAAAATTTTGTTATGCCCAGCACCGATATCACAATTACCTTGGATATGTTGAAGTGTCAGATTTTGCTGTTCAAAACACTTTCTTTTTATGTTTTTTACTCTCATCATTATAAATATTTAGAAATCTCATTTTCAAAACTTAATTTCATTGACTTCCAAATTAAAGAAATATTACTCTTATTATCAAACAATAAATATAGACTACAGTCAAACCTCATTATCTGAAAATTGTCAAAACCAAGAAAAAAAACATCCAAGATTTCAGAGAGTTCTTGACTTACAAAAAGTATGTAAAGGACATTCAATTCCTGATTTATATTCATTGTATTCAAGTTAACAGTTTAGTATTTAGAAAATGAAATTCAACTGTAACCCTGGCATCCTATAGATATACATTCATTGATTCAACTTCTGCCCTATGTCAATTGTCGTACTATGCTATGTTCTATGATTTACAAGTTGACCAAAAGACCATTTTTCATTTTAAAATAATAAAGAATAAGAAATAAAAAACGTTCCTTTAATGCATATAGATTTATATAGCTTTAAACATTTCCCAATTTTATAAATTAGGAGAAAATTCGAGTTACATGCTCAAAAACCCTTACCGTTACTGTTGCCTTTGAAAGACTGACTGCTCCTCTACATCCATAAGAAGTGTCATTTTCTGATTTATAATAACTAAGAGTTCCGTCCTTTAGAACAATAAATCGATCTTGCCAACCATGTAAATAATTTGTCCATTTACTCAGAGTGTCTTGGAACTCCGGCAACGAAGATTCGAAATCCGAATCATCGTTATCTTCGTCGTCTGTTAGACTGAGCACATCCGTGCGTTCTTCCGTCATAATGATTTTAAAAATATAAATACTTTACCGATTTCACATATTTAGCAGTATCACTAGAATTCAACAAAACTAAATGTAGGTGTTTATGTTCACGAAACCGACATGATGATGTCATACAGGAAGTTCATACAAGAAAGAGAAAACCGGTTTTGGAATTAATTCCGGAAAAATAATATCATTGACAAGTGCCTGCTCTAAATTATGAATTTTTGGAATGAAGATGGTACTAAAAAATTTAAACAATATTCGAATAAAATTAAACAATAGGTAAAAATGGATTTCACCTATAATGTCACTTTTTCTGGAAAAATTATTTGAAGTTTGAAAAAAACGGGGGGGGGGGGGGGGGGGGGAGGAGGGGGGGGGGGGTGGGGGGGTTGGTTGACTTCCATCAACAATATTTAAGAAAAAAATACTTTTGCCATTTTTTGAGAAATAGATCTAAAAAATTATATGTGATGATAGCAGGGACATATATTCTAACTAGACTATATCCTCCCTGCAGTACTTTTCCCCTTACTCAATCAGATTTACTGATCATTTGAAGTATCATTTATACAAACAAAACAAGACTCAAGTTAGAAAAAAAATTCCCTTTATGATATTGCACAATACTTTCTAATAAACATGTCTTTCCCTCCTTCTATATACCTATTAACAGTAATATCTACTTCAATCATTTGTTTCTTAACTTTCATTTTCGGGCTGTACTCTATTCTTAGATACATGCAACAGCATTTTTTTTTCTTTAAAAATTGGACACCTGATTAATATCTACATGTCTGAATATGACCTGAAGTTTCAGAAAAAAAATATCCTGATATAGATTTCCTTTATTCTTTCCAATTTCCAGACTAAAGGCTTACTAATGCTATTAAGAAATCTTAATATTAGTAAGAAAAAAACTGTAAACAACACGCAAAAACTGAATCTTTTATATCATTTAATAGGAAAAGTAAAAATAAAACATCTATCATAACAGTTTTCATAAAGAAGCATCTGATTTAGAGTAATATAAAAAATGTGTTATACATTCATCACAATGCATTCAAGTCCCAGATTTTTTTACTATCTCAAACTTCCAAGAAATAGATGTGACCATACTGCCATTCATAGAAGTAAATCCTTTCTCATAAGATCCAGAAAAGTAAAAATCTCCAGTTTTCTTTTTTTTTTTTTTTTAAATTCCTAAGAAAAAAAGATTATAGCACCAAGGTCACCAACTGGGAATAAGAAAATGTCACTTTACGTGTTCATTTGGAAAAACGAAGCAATATTTTGGCATTTAGGACCACTTTCCTGTTTTTTTCGCTTTCCCTTTGGCCCTGGTGATTCCTGCTGCTCTAACTGCTCTAAAGATCTGAAAGTCAAAAAAAATGTATTTAATTAACACATATATATAATAATTACTTATATATACACCGAAACCAATCATTAACATTTCTGAATCTTGCTTTCAACATTATAAAATAATATTTTGCTGTGTAGTACTGACCTTTTGTTGTTTTGCTTTTGTTCTTTCAGGATCTCACTGATTGTTCCTTTACACAGACAGCTGTCCACATGCTGGTTAAAAGTGTCTAAATCTACTCCTGTCTGCTCCATAAAACACACAGGACACACCATGGTTTCTCTCAATTTACTGTCAGGAGTTTCCGTCAAAGCATCAGGGTCTACACCCTTTTTCATCTGGATTTTTGAAGTACTGGGCCCCTCCGAAGATGACTGAGATACTTTTACATTCTTCTCAACCACAACTTTTTGGGATTGTAAAGAACTCAAATCTCGATTTTTATCATTCACTGGTTCTTTTCTTTCAATAAGACTTTTTCGAGATACTGGTGACCCAGAAACTCGAGATTTAGTCTCCACAGTTTCCTGTGAAGTTCTTGAGCCAGGTTTGAGTGGCTTTGAGGAGGTACTTTTTCGCTTTGGAGTGACAGTTTTTCTTGTGGTGGGTTTCTTATCCCTAGCTGTTTCTTCCTCCGGTTGATATCGAGAGCATTCCATGACTACAGATCTACTCAAACACGTATCAATATGACGATTGAATGCATGCAGGTCGCTGCAGCCAACTTCATCCCTACAAACTGGACAGGTATACCACAAAGTTTCTGGCTCCTTTTCTGCTAAGTCTTCATTATTAGTGCAGTCATCTGAAATGTTTTTATCTTCACATGGTCCATTATATTCACATTTTTCATGGGTATTTGAATCTTTGTTCGCATCCTGTTCTGAAAGTTTTGTCATATCTTCTATGATTTCTTTTGACTTCTGTGAAATTTTCTTGAGACAGTGTGTTTCAGAAGTACTGTCATGTATCACATCATCTTCAGATATTGAGTGGCTGTTCTTGTTTCGGTTCCTCTGATCATTGTTTTCTTCATGACACTGACTAATTTGATTAGCACAGGTGCCTAAATTTGGGTCATCATTTTGCTGATCAGTTTTCTTTGCAAACTGAAGACCTTTTTCTGATATATCCACTTGATTTGGACTTTCTTCCACAAGCTGTTGATGGTTTATTTTCCCCAGCTTTTCTCCTTTCTTTACAAACTGCATTAATGTGTTCTGTTGTTTCTTGTTTGTGACAAAATTTTGATCAACCAGAGAACTCATTCTAACACCTTTCAAAAATTAAAACAAAAATTTATGTCTAAAATAAACAATATGAGATAGAGGCATGATGTAGGTATACATGTATAGATTTTTAAAATACTCTTGAGTAAAGTACTTAAAATGTTCATCGATTTCTCATTATTTTTACAACTTATGAAACTTTTCATAGAATCTTACCCATAAGTCTTAGTTGTAGAGGATGTGGATGTACATTTTTTATCTCCTTACAAAGAAGATCTTTTGCTGCAGTATAAATAACCTCTGCATCATTGGTGTAATCTGGAAGTGAGCACGCTCTTGTCTTCACATCAAACTTGACGGTCTTTATCTTAATAGACACAGTTCTACCCTACAATGAGTGAAATAATCCTAAAATATCAACTCATATTCTATTCATGTACATACTTTTCCTCAATACATTCTATACAGGCATTTTCATGTGCTCTTTTAAAATATGATCACATTTTTCTAGTCCTTAATTAAATATATGTTAGGTTAATGCAGTAGCTAAAATTCTCATTTGCTCCTGGTCTCATCTTGAAAGATGACCATGAAAAGGGATAAATGGTAATGTCTACTTGATATGTAGTATATTAAACTTTGAAATTTATTAACAACATAACCACTTACTTTCAGTTCTTCTGACTGGAGATCCTCTGCTAATGACTGACTCAGCTCTAGACATTTACTGTACAGCTCTGATGGGGCACTCATTTCAGAGAAGGTTCTGAAAGTAAAAGTGAGTTACTCTAACTTTCCGGACACAACAAAAAACAAGATCTTATGGTATTTTAATATTAAATAAATATTTTCATCTATGAAGAAAACAAATTCAAAATATCCTTGTAAAAACTTGAAAAGATCACATACCTTTCAGTACTCATACTTTTCCTTTCTCCATCTCTGCAAAGAGAGTAATATGATGTGTATTCTTGGCAGCTGGTATTTTTTATTATCTCAATCTTTGTAAGATTTTATGCAATATATTATCTCAAAGTTAGAATGGGGGTGAAAATGAAGTTAAATATTCACCACAGTAAGTGACTTTCCACAAGAAGTCATTTTTTTTTGTCAAAGAATTTTAACTGTATGTCAAGAGAAAAGTTGAGGAGTAAAAAACATATTACAATATATCCTCAAAATATCAACAAAAAATGTAAGTGCACAGGAATCTTTGACTATTTAGAAGACAAAGATTTCTTTAAAGTGACTGTGTTACGCTAGTCTGGGACACTTTCCTGGGAAATGTTTAGGCCACCCTTTCCTTTCTTTCTCTCCCTTACCTTTCTACAGTTGTGGATCCGATCCCAAGACAAATTCTCATGAAGTAGTTAAAGGAGATCTGTGAGTAGAGATGGTAGAGGAGCCCCCTCTTGTTGTAGAGATCTTGACAGGTCTTTACCCCCAGGGCATTCAGCATCCTCTCAGACACCTTCCCAATGCCACTTATCTGATACAACATGAGACACTTTATATCTCCTTACAAACAAAGTTAGCTTTTTTAAAGCATCAGATTTAATAAATGCTCAGAAAAAAATCATGCAGATATTAATAACTTTGTTAATTTGAAAGGCTTGAAACTAGCTGATTCATTACATACTGTTCATTTAAAGTAAAAATACCAAAACGCATACATGTATAGGTCTGCAAAACTTTCAATTTTTATTTGGACACATAGAAATTTATTTTTTTTTCTTTTTGCTTTTTAGGAGATGTAAAGCTGCTTTAAAGGGGCATGGACACAGTTTCAGCTAAAATTTCAAAATTTATTTTTCCATTTTTACAAATATTTAACTAGGGTCTTTCTAATAATCATAAAAAATTTGAGCGCCAGTTTTCCAGATACAAGACAGATTTAGAGGTCCAGACCTTTGTTATGTAAACAAAATCTATGTCATGTTTTTGTTTATATATTTCAATATACTAATATAGGTTCGTTCAAAGTAGATAATTTCAAATTAAAGTTAATTTTAAATACTAGGGATGTCAACGAGTACCCGGTTAACCGGGTACTCGATCGAACGTCCGAGTATCGAATACTAAAATCGGTACTCGGTTACTCGGATGTATATTTTTTAATATTTCTTAGCTTATTTATTAATGCATTAAAACATCGGTTTTAAAATTTAAAATTTTCAGTGCACCTGTACATACATTAATTAGGGTTTCTTGCACCTCTAAATGACCGTTATCGCCTGTGGCAGTGTTTATACAGTAATTACCGAGACAAAGCACCTGCTACCTACCTGGCTTTTCTCACCTTCGGCTGTCTTGTACTCTTATGTTTAGTTTGCTCTAATTATTTGTTGTCATTGAACATGTGTAAGGTCTATTATGTTTTAATAAATAAGATAATTTTGTCCTCCAGAAGCCGTAAATTCTTGAAGAAAGAGACAAACAATATTGCACGTGCGATTGTTGATATGGATGCGTTTGGTTACGTGCCAATTAATACAAATTGTTGAATGCAAAGATTTTATGTCCACCGTTGCACCAAAATACACATACCGTCTCCTAATATTATGAAATCTAAAAGTGTACGAAGATCGTAAATCCGCTCTGTTATTACAGGAGAACTTGATAAAGTTGATACTGTACATGATTGTAGCTCTGACGACTTGTCACTTGGACGTTAAACGCACCAAAGAGTTACATTAATTTTTTTTTATTTAAACAAAACCACTGTGAACCATTTATTATTTTATTTCTCGTATTTATCTGGTGAATAAATTGAACTTTAAAAAATTTTAGATTAAATTTCGTCGGGCACAAAGTGGTCATAATATTGTTACAACACATTTACAGGTAAACCTCCCATCAGACCATGTGGTTTTATTTCTACAAGAGTTTACAATGTTTTACAGTTATCAATTAACTTGTTCATATTAATTTAGACTTTACCGAGTTACTCGATAACCGAGTATTAAAAATTGACCGATTTGACATCCCTATTAAATACTATTCGACGGTTTCTATTGATTTGCTGAATTTCATTTTGTTATAAATATGATATTTTCTATATGTAAACAAAAACAAGGCACGAGCCTTGTTTACATTATGAAGAACTTTAGGTTCTGTATCTTGTTTGTTAATCAACAAATGATGTTCATTTTTTTGCTAATCAATAGATGATGCCTGATGTAGGAATTGTAAACTTTAAAAGTGGTTAAAAAAATTCAGTTGAAACTGTGTCCATGCCCCTTTAAATCTATCTATGGTAAATTTTACCTTTCTAATGGATAACTCCCTTATAAAGGACATGACTGCTTCTACAGTGGGCGGGATGATGTATTGACCATTTGGCTTGTTCATGTCGGAACAGACTTTGGCTAACATCATATTTGGAGCAACACCTAAATATGGAAACAAAATCAATCTCAAATACATTGAATTATTAAATTCTTAGTATCAAATTCAAAAATAATGATAATGAGGAAAATCATGCCTGCACTAGCTGTTAGACAAGTCTTTTGCTGAATCCTGGAGCGCATTTCATTGACAGCATATTCCACATCAGTTCCAAATGTCACCATCTCAAACTCCGGAAGAGGCTTGCCACAACCAGTGCAGACCTCAGGAACACTGGCTTTGACCTTCAGAGTCCCATCTTCACAAAAACCTACACCCAGAGTTTCATTCAAATCACATAAGCAAAAATCCTTATCAAAGCTGTCACAAGTTCGACATATTACTGTCCGCTCTTTCTCTGACAAGGCACTGCGCTTTGTCAAGTGATCTGTGAAATCTAGGTAAGCTTCATCTAAACTGACCGTGCAGAAGTTGGGGTCAAAGGTTGCTAAAATCTCTCTGACTTGTTTGCTTACTGAAGTGTATTTGTCAAAATGAGCTGGGACAATGACAAGTTCAGGGCACAGCTTCTTCCCAATAAATCCTGGCATTGCTGCTCTTACTCCAAATTTTCTTGCATGATAATTGGAGGTTGACTGAAAATAAAATATGTCAAACTATGAAAACCAAATTCAGTCACTTTAAAATATGGCAAAACTTTTCCACAATGTTTGCAGTACATGTATTATAACTACCCAGTAGCCTTACTCACCTCATGGGTAGAGTTTGGGTCAGGTGAGGCCATGGTAGAGAGAACTGTAAATGTACCAGGTATTATATTTGGCTGTGTATTCTTTTTAGCGCCTTTGGCGGAAAGATACTTCCGCTAATTCAAGTACAACGTTAAATGTCTTTTACATATACTCATAAATAAGAACATTAGGAAATGCACTAAATCAAATCTACGCTAACTTGTTCAAAAGTCAGTTTCCGTGAAATATTGTACACGCCAAATATAATAAATTTACAGTAATTCCTATTTAGGTGTGTTATGAGTCATGACTTTGATCTCTAATTTAAAAAATTGGTAAAATTCACTCCCTTCATCCAGGAATATCCTGTGGGTAAAGCATAAGCTGTATAGAAGTAAGGAGGGCAAATAAGTTTCAAGCAAGGATTTATGAGATGGTTTGACCTTGACCTTCAATCTTGTTCATAATCACTGCACATCCTATTCCCTTTCCATACTTTAGTAAGTTCATCTTTGCTAGCCAAGGGTTTCCAATCCAAAATCTACTTTAGAATTCGAATTGGATACCCTTGGCTAGTGAAGATGTAGAGAGTTATGAGTTATATGAGACCAAAAGGAGAGAAAAGACCATGACAAGAATTTCTCTGAGAAATCTAATTTAACCTTGAATTTCAATACATAATGGTTTAAGGTGACTTTAAGTTTATACCCTCTCCCATAGTTCTCAAGAGGTGAATCATGAGCCAGATTGGGACAAGGAGAAAGAAAATATTCTCAAAACAAGGATATCACAGAGATCTGCTTTGACCTTTAGTGGGCTTTACCTCTGATCTTTGACCAAATTCAAGTCAGACCCAAATCTAAAGGGTACAACATTGGTAAAATCAAAGGCCTGAAGGGCCTGCGAGTTGACTCGCTCGAGTCAATTGAGCTTTTTAATACATCTGGGCACCATACCTTAATATATTTAGTTTATTTTGCATCTTAAGAGATTGAATATTATATGTCTGATCCATGTTCGGTTCATAAATAAAGTGTATATTGCTTTTCCTTTATATATACAGGTTGGCACTCATGGGCTTCCGTATTATTTTGACTGGATTCTATAATGAATTTAAGCACATTAGCTGAAGTGGTCAGTGTTATGAAGTAATTAGGTTAAAGATTCCCACAGCAAATCTGGATTCTAAAAATAGATTTTCACAACAACTAGCTGCAGCTAATGAGAGCAGCAGGTGTTTGTGAGAGGGAGTATTCTAGGTCAATTATAAATAAACTTCAGATGGGAAGATTAGATCCGCCTAACATGCTTGAACATATATTCATACGCAGTAATTGTACATCGTACAGGTATTTAATCAAAAATTTCTTTAAAATCATGAAGGCATAAATAATGTTACAGTATGAAATTTTATACAGTTTTTACCTCTTAAGTTTACACAATCACTCAAACCAAAGCATTTTTTGCTAGAACTATAATATTTGGCGTATGGATCACCTTGATGAAAGCGTGATAAATTTTACAGCTCTGAAACGGCTATGTCGACAGGGAGTAGCTCGCTACGCGAGCCAACTCAAAAAGAGTCAAATAGGACCAAAGAAAGAGAAAATACATTATCATCAAGTGATATTGAACAAAAAAAATGGTAGGATTAGAATGATTATTACAGGACACCTGCAGGGCAGGACCCTATAAATTAAGCATTGTTTTCCTTATAAATACAGATGTTTGCTCTTTGTATAGCTTTAACTCCTTAAGGGAAACACATTTAGGAATTGCTTGATAAAATTCAACATTTTTTTTTTACATACAATTTTTTTAAAGTTATACAGGAAGTAATACATTAATATGTTACCAGCATGGAATTGCCCCCTACAGCCATTGGTTTGTCTCTTAAGGATGGGTCGTCTCGCATTTCCACTGCAGCATAGAAAGCATCCATGTCAATGTGTACAATAGTCTTACTTAGGTCTCTCAATCTGTCAAACTCTTCCAAGAGAAGATCTGCCTTTGAAATAAAAAATCAAACATAAAATGTCTTGATTATAGATGGAGTAAATAAAATATATTGAATTTTCATCAATAAAATAGATTTTTTTTGGTCCCCAAGCATTACAATGATCTCACAGTGAATTGTGATGTAAATTTTCAGTTGTAATTTCCTTTTTATGGTGAGATTATTTTCCTACACATCTCACCTCCCTTTCAGCTGCCTCCAACTGCTCCTGGGTGATGCCCTTCATCTTCTGTCTCTGCTCCTCAATCCTTTTCGCCATTTGTTCCTCTTTTTTCTTTTCATTTTCAAAATATTTAGATCCTATACAAGAATTTGATACCAAATTTTATTACATCGCAAATATATATCACGTCAAGTATAAATTAATCAATCAAATAAGGGCCATCTTAAATAGTAAGGATTGATAGCTAATTTCAGTCCTAAGCGTATGGGTACTGAAATATCAGATCCACCAATGGAATTGCAAAATCTTTTACATATGTTGCATGTCTTTTGTCACGGATTATCCGCGGGTTTATGTAATGTACATTAACGTTATTGTTACGTCAAAAAGTTAATAACAGAGTCTAAAATAAACCACTATACGATCAAGACGCATTTCTATTCTTTCCACAACATTTTGGTGCCGTGATTGACGGAATGTTTACATAATATACGCACAATGGAAGGAAGACTGAAAGCCATACGGGCCGGTAACAGATCAGCGGTGACGAAACTTTTCGGACGATTTTTGGACTTGAAAGAAAATACAGCCAGTGAAGTAACAGAGGAAATCGAAATAATTAGGAAGTCCCTAACACAGAAAAGACAAACTCTACAAGAACTAAATGAACGAATATTAGACGCCTTATCTGAAGAAGACATAGAAGAAGAAATCACGAACACAGATGAGTATATGTACGAATTAGACTGCAAAATTAAGAAAATAGAAAAATTTACAGAAAAAGTTTCATGTAAAACTTTGAACGCCAGTGCTGAGTGTTTTGTACCCGCCTTAGAAATTCATGATAGTAATGTAAACACGTCAGCTGCAATTAACTCAAATGAAACGGCTTGTGAGAATGCTCTAAATAATTTTCCTGCCACTGATCTCGGTGAAAAAAGTCACCACGCCACAAATAATCATCGACTACCGAAACTAAATCTTCCATATTTTGACGGGGATATACTAGAATGGAATACGTTTTGGGATTCATATGAATCAACAATTCACTGCAACCGAACTTTAACACCAATTCAAAAGTTTTCGTATCTCAAGGCTCAATTACGCGACGCAGCAGCACAAACCACATATATTACGAAACCGCCATAGACCTGCTCAAGGAACGATTTGGTCAACCGCAAAAAATTATCAATGCTCACATGAGAGCACTTATGGAACTGTAAGCCCCGAGAAACGACGCCATCAGTTTAAGAAATTATGGAGACTGCTTGGAATCTCATGTCAGGAGTTTAGAGTGTCTAGGACAAAAGCAAGAGATGTACGGAGCTTTACTTATTCCAGTCATAATGAACAAGCTACATGTGTACCAGCTGAAATCAGGAAAAACATTGCACGTGAGTACGATGGTGACAACATTTCACTACACAATCTTCGTAAAGCTATCAGCAAAGAAGTCAAAATCCTTGAATCAGGCCAGATTGAAAACAGCGATGGATTCCACGCAACAGCAATGTTTCTTACCGGAGCCTCAAAGAAACAACGCCATGTTCATTATGGACAAAACCAGAAAACAAGAGAGTCAACTCCTTATGAAACAACAGAGAGCGCCCATGCATTTATTGTTGCACAGAGAATCACTTTCCAGGGGACTGTAAGAAAGTTACAGAAGTAACAAGATTCGACATCTTAAAACGGAAGAAATTATGTTTCAACTGCTTAGGAAACCACCGCGCCGCAGATTGTAAATCCCGCAACAGATGTAAAAAGTGCCAGAAGAAACACCACACAAGTATATGTGACATGAAACTAACGAGGGACAGAGACGAGCCCACCAAATCAACAATTGTCAACATTGTAGGAACGAGCAAACCAAATACTACAGAAATGAACGTTGAACAACGACATAAAAGTGTTTTATGGAAATCAGCTTCCACTCCGATGAGTTGGACTGTGGACTCCATTCAAGAACATAGCAAGTTGATCAACGAGTTACAGCAACTTAAGTCAGAGCTGAAGACTAAGACAGAAAGGATGAACGCGTTGGAACAAGAAAATGGTACCCTGCTAGAGAAATTGTTACAATTCGACCAACAAAGAAATTTTCAGGCCCGTGTGGAGAATGGGATGAAGGATATGATGGAACAGATAAATATGTACGAAAACGGACACCTGCATAAATCATAACAGAATCAAGTTGTTAATATTACAGCACTTGGAGCATTTTAATGCTAAAAACATTAGTCTTCAGTCACGATATGATTACGCCCAAAGGCAAATAAGTGATCTAAACATCAAAGTACAGACACTTGAAAATCAACTACAAACCTCACAGGACCCCGTGAAAAGTAGGGAGAAGGATTACACGTTCGCCGTAAGGATGATATATGACAGAAAAACGTACAGAGGCTGAAAAATCACAGAAAAAGAATCTCAGGGACATGGCAGAGATAATAAACAAAATGCTAATATACGGACTCGAAACATGGAGCTGGAGAAAGCTAACACAGAAGTACGTCACAAACACCCCGGAACTGAGACTCTGATACAAAACCTGGCTGATAAAGTGTGAACATTGTCGTAAATAGACCTCTTAATTGAGTGATTATGAACTTGTTTTTATTTTAAATTTCAGTGAACTGTTAATTTGATTTGAACTTTTAAATATTCTAGTATAATATTCATTTCGGTGCCCGGAGTGTCACGGATTATCTGCGGGTTTATGTAATGTACATTAACGTTATTGTTACGTCACAATACTGTACGTTATGTTTCTATAGTTAATAACAGAGTCTAAAATAAACCACTATACGATCAAGACGCATTTCTATTCTTTCAACAACATCTTTATTTAACACAGAAAAAATAAAGGTGAGGCACTTTTGTGCATTATACCATTATGCAGTATAATACTTCTCAATTTCAAGCATGGATCTAGACAAGCTTGCAAAACTGTAAATAAATCTTTGGAAATTTTAAAAAAATGTACCCCACATTTCTAAAATATTGTTCAAATGAATTAGCAAGGTTATTACAGATTTAAACATATATTTAATGATCAAATTATGCGGCAAAAGCAGGTTTGTGATAATTCTATTTTGGGGTTCAATCAGAATGTTCACCTTTTGATGCCTCAAATATGATCTGGTTGATTTTTTCTTTATCCAATCCTGTCATGCCAGCTTTATTGTCATTCAGTAACATTCTAGACATCAAAGTCTCACTCGATTTTGCCTCATCTTTTCCTGTCCCTTTACCTTCAGATAAATCTGTCAAAAAATATAAGTATAAAATATCAGTCTCAATATGTACAAAATATAAAAGTAGAATTTTTAAATCTACATTTATTATAAAAATATAATCACTCTATGTGTATATGCTTGTTTTAGAAATCTTATTCAAACCTTTACTCGACATCGCTTTGTCATTGTCAGAACAGCTCTTGCTACGTAACTCTCTTGTGCCAGACGTAAGATTAGTATCCCAATTAATGGCCATCCAGTCTTCTTCCTCCTCCTCATCTGTGGCTTCTGGTGCATTGTCCATCCTAGATCTGTAAAAGTTTGTCTGAACACATGTGAAAATGTAAAACTAATGCTGACACATTCAACATCAGACTCAGTAAAGACTTTTCATCAAATCTGACAATGAAGATAATATTTCAGTAATTTGAGTACTATGTAGATTCATAATTTCATATATAACATTAACATTAAATCAAATTACAATAAATTAAGAATTTCTGTAAATTAAATTGTAACATTACATAAAGTACATAATTTCAGAAAAAGTCTAAACATTGATTTCACAAACTTCTTAGAAATAAATGAAAAAAGTCAGCAAATAGATTTACCAAGCTGAAGAATACTACATGGGTAGATATGAATGAATGTGATCAGGATATAATATGACAATGAACAAAAAAAAATGTGCATTTCACCTCATGCATTTTCATACAGATATATTTCAATGACTGATTCAGTGTGATGTTTGACAATGAAAAAAAAAATAAATATAAGCATGTAAATTTTCCAGTAAATCTACTTGGTTAAGCAATTCTTTCTCATGTCAACAAATTTAACAGATTAAACCATATGTTCATTCAATGCATATACAGAACCTGCCATTTTTTTTTTAAGAATTTTGTTTTAATACCTAATATCTATGTACCTAAAAACATAAAGTCATTCAAAAAAAAAAAAAAAAAACAATACAAATAAGATCGTTGAAAAAAATTGCAAACCTCTAGATACTTGACTTTTTAACTTTTTACGATTTTACTTCTCCCGCGACATTTTCTACTTTCGTTTTATACATATGGATAACTCGTCCATGCATTAGTCGCTTTTGCCCAGGTCTTATGTAAACAAATCCAACCGATCTAATGATTACTTATGGACCCGGTCTGAAATATCAAGTAAATGAAGATCGTTTAGTGTTCATAAGGTAAGTGATTACATGTATGTTGTAGATGCTCTTGTAAATGAACTTGTCTTGATGACCCTAGTCACCCTTTGCTACAAACATGACATTCTAAATGTTGTGGTCAAGAACAAACATGGGTGCTTGGTAGGAGACACCCCTTTTCTTTGTGTGAAAAACCATGTTTATTTATAAACATAGATTAAACGTTACGCTCTTAGGCTCCTTGATCAGCTATTAATCACATAACCGATACAGAGTTGTCGTTCGTTCTTCTCTGTACGTGGTCATTACAACAAGCGCATTGTAATCTTGTCCAAGTAAAGACAGACACCTTGATATTTAATATTTTAACTTGTAGAATCGTTTCACATTGGATGTTGAGCAATTAGGCCTTTTCACTAAATCGATGCACATGTTAATAAGGAAAACGTAAAAACTGGCACCAAGTGCTAGCTGGGAATATTGGTCAGGAGTTTTCTATTCTTTGACATGACGCTTTTCTATGCGTGCAATGAACATTAAAACCAAAACTCGCCAGACGAATGATTAAAAGACAAATTTTATGATTTCTGTGTTTGATTTTTTTTTCAGGTTGGGTTGAGTAATGTCGGTAGACCGCCTAGAACAACTTCGACATGGTCGTTCGAAAGAGCTCAATATTTTCCCTGAACCTGAAAACGTCCCTGATGATGTAGACGTAAAGAGGTTCAATAATGGACGTAAATTCTTTCAAGATAATGTTTCTATGTGCGTTCTTGGAATGTTTTGCTCCCTTGTAGCAGGCTTCAGTGTTGTTAACCTCTTGGAACCACTAGTCTTTACAAACAAATCGAACACACCCAAGAAGTCACTGAGCCGTTACTTGGATACTATACGCCATGTCGCTCTTTGGCATTATGGTGATATTTGGGACCCACTATCCTCAGCAAGAAGATCCATAAGGAAAATTTACAATATGCACACTAGTGCCAGAGATAGTATGATGAAAGCAAACAAAACCGGTAGACATTTTACTCAGTATGACATGAGTCTTGTTCAAGCCGGTTTTGTAGGGTTTATAATTTTGTACCCAGAAAGGCTTGGTCTACAAGGTTCTAAGTCACAACTAGAGGACTTTGTTTACTTTTGGAGATGGATAGGTTTCTTTTCAGGAATCCAGGATGAGAACAACATTTGCATAAACGGATTCGAGGATGCGTATCACATTTGCAAACAAGTCGAAGACGAAATCGTTTATCCCGCGCTTTTTGACCCACCAAATCACTTCTACTCGATGGCAAAAGCTTTTACAGATGGTCTTTCGCTCTTGACAAATGTTACTATATACACACCAGAGTCTGTTATTGGGTTTTCTTTGGATATGGCACGGAAAGAAAGAATAATGAAAGTTGACCTCTTAGACAGTTGCCGGATAATTTATTTAAAAATAATGGTTTATTTAGTGAAACATTGTTCCTGGTTCCGAAGGATGGCAAATAGACTCACTGAATCTTTGATTGTGCCAAATAAATTTAATTTCTGAATTCTAGTCATTGATAAATGTTTGTTGTTGATATGATATCTAGTCATTGATAACCGCCGTGAGCTCCCAATAGCCCATTGGGGATGTGTTGTCACTAATTTGATCATATGTATATATCAAAAATAAGATCAAACAATATTACGATGATGTCAATGCACGGTGTAAGGTATGCCATAAAAGAAAAACTTGTGGTAAATAGGATATTGGAACTCTTGAATGAGTTCTAAGTACAGATAAAACGTACAGATTTTTATTGATGTTGAAAAATGTCAAAGTTGTTTGACAAATAACCTTTGAAAGTAGTGTCCTCTACAAAAATTTGAATTTTTTAAATTAAAATTTGTATATGACAATTAATTGTCATATACAAATTTTAATTAAAAAATTCAAATTTTTGTACAGGACAGTAGATTTAGCATATCGAATACATGTGGCTCTTGAAGGAGATCTCTTTTTTCAGTGTCAAAAAAAGGTATGTTATATTATAATTGACAATATTATTTTTTAATATATATAATGTTAATTTCAAAAGTTTTAAAGGATGTATCATGGAAAACGTATGGTTAACTTTCCTTCACCAGTCAGTATACACTCGAAAGTAAAGCATTCAATTTTTCATACAAGAAAATAAACAAAGGTACTAGTTGATTAGGCACAGTCAAAGATGATGTACTCGGAATCTTTTTTTCTTTATTGAATTTGGTTTCAACTATGCCAGGCCAAAACAAGGTGCACACTAAACAGAGAAAAACACAATGACTGACTTTAATCAATATGAAGTATTTTTGTATTTCTAGCGTATATAAAAAAAAGCGTTTTTGCAATATTAAATATATATAATTCTTAAATTTCTGGAGCTTTTTTGAGAATTGCGCCGTCTGGAGATCTGGTTTCAAGCCAGGACATCACTACACAATCTCTGTGACATGATAAGGTTTCTTATTTAGAAAAGCAAAATATAGTTTGAAATATTGAAACACACACCAAAGACGCATTTGTTAAAAGTAGTACTGTCAAAGTCGGTTCTTTCATACAATATTGAAGAAAAAAGTTTATTTCGGTGGAAGCCCGGGATTGTTCCCCCACCCTAAATCTTCCCCGGCGGCCCTTTTCGTGTTTTTTTTTTGTTTTTTGTTTTTTTGATGGGGTCCTATGACCTATTAGGAGCTTCTAAACCTTTCCACCAATGGAGAGAGGTCAAATAACCGGATACTGGATCGGAAAAAGAACCAGGTAATCGATGACGGATTTGACAGTTCTATGTAATAAACCGTCATCTTGGTGTCCTGTAGCTTTGTTTGTTTGTAAACATCCTGAATACTACAAGACATTCTTGCCGTTGCTTTAGTTCACTTAAGTTCTAATTTAATTTCTCTAAATATAAGTCCTGACTTTTTGCTAATTTATCATACGATTATATTCATCGATATGCCAATGGATATACAGACTAAAGGTTACTTGGAAATTTTACGTGAAGGAAGTTCATATTCACTGCTACCTTTTCCAGATACGAGCATTGTGCCACCGGGACACGAGAACATAAATATAAATGCTAAAAGGTTTAACAATGGACGAAAGTTTTTTCGTGACAATCTTTCTATGAGCGTTTTGGGGTTGTCGTGTACTCTTGTGATAGGATTTAGCATTCCAAACCTTCTGGAACCACTTATGTTCACGAAGAGGTCAAGTTCACCAAAAGCCATTTTACAGCGCTATATGACAACCATACGTCACGTGACATTATGGCATTATGATGATGTTTGGGACCCAAATTCTGCTGCTAGGAAATCCATTGAGATTGTGTACAATCAGCATGTGAATGTAAGAAATCGAATGAAAGAGGAAAATGAAGACACCCAATGCTTCACTCAGTACGACATGAGCCTGGTGCAGCATGCGTTCATACGTTACGCCATCTTGCTATCAGACAAATTAGGTCTTGAATATACCAAAACCGATCTGGAAGATTATGTTTACTTCTGGAGATGGATGGGATATTTCTTGGGAATTCGTGATGAGAATAACATTTGCCTAAATGGGTTAGAAAATGCAAGAGCGACATGTAAAGAACTCGCTGAACACGTGGTATATCCTGCACTGTCAACATCTTCAGAAAATTCCGAGAACATGGCCCAGACCTTTGCTGATGGATTAAGGCTCCTTACATACATTCCCATACAATCAGCCCAGTCGCTCAAGGCGTTTTACTTGGACAGTGACAATGAAGAGAGAGATTTTAAACTCACCATTCTGGACAAATGCAGAGTTCTGTTTTTGAAAAGCGTCGTTCTCATGTTTAAGCACAGTGCTCTATTTCGATTTCTGACGAATAGGTTCACGGAAAGAATTATTTCAGTATCTTGGTTTAGGTCTCAGATTCTTAATTCATAGCTTAGCCTTCAAGAGCACAACTGAATGTACAAAATGTAATGTATTCAATGTACTGTTGACAGTCAATTGTGTTTCTCAGCCATTTATAGAGAAAACTTTTCCCCCATATACATGTATATTCTAAGCAAACAAACAACGGATTTTTATTGATTTTTTTTTTCTGTGAAAAAAAGGTAAAATTTTCACAAAAAGTTGATGTTAAAGTTTTGTATGATTAGTTTGATGATGACGTTTGTTTAAATGACGTTGCCTGTGGATGATTTATCCTGTTAAGGTAAATGTGACTTCAGATGTGTCGTAAATCTGACTGTGAGGGTGCTGACTTCCGCACTCTCCATTGCAGATAACTAAAATGAGAATCGTAAGGATATAGAAAGATGTAAGTCAAATTGAAATAAAAGTATATGCATCAAATTTTTTAGAGCAAATAATTACGAGTCAATGGTGTCATTTGTACTAACATAATCATGCCTTATCTGCAAGTGTGGACAATAGGAAAGTGATAACGTATCAGATGGTGTGACTTTGTAAAAGAAGATTAAGTTATCGAACAAGACTCTACACAGTAAACGTTGACATTTGTTTCTAGTTCTATTCATATTAACTTTAACATATAGGCCCTTACATATTTTAACTGTGTAATTTCCTGGCAGCCATTGTTCACATGGTTGTTGTGTAGGGTCACACTGCGGATCCGGTTCAGCTTTTAGGTTGAACTTTTGTGAGTACTGCCCTGCAGGTTGTTCCTGTGCAAGGAACCCTCCCTCTAAATAAGGAAGACATTTTGTGTGATATATTACTGAAAGCATTTTATTGGTAGGATTATATTTTCATTCATAATTGTCAACTAAACTTCGTTCCTAAAATAACATTGACTCATCAAATGGCGTAAATGTTGTGCATATGCTTACCAACTGGGATCCCGTCAACAGTTTTGCATTCCAAGATTATTTCACCAGTCCCTGTGCCATTTTTAGACTCGTACTCAAGATCAATCTCGAAAACACCTTAATATAATGAAAAGTTATCTTTTATTGTAATATACAAGTATTAGAAGGAAATTTGGGAGTGTTTGAATAGTAATGCTTGATTATTTTTACCCTGTGGTCCTGATGTTGGTGATACAGTCATTGATGTGATTTTAGCGTCGCCATCATCCTTAATAGGACAAGCTTTCAATAACTCGCAGAAGTAGATTGGGTCAAGATCTGCTCTGAAAAGCAGAGAGAAAACAGTTTCATTTTGTAAATTAATAATATTAGTAGTTTGTCTTGGAGTTGAATATCTTAGTTTATCAATTAAGCTTCAAACGTGTCGGGTCTCATTCCCATGGCGATAGATAAAACCCTACCTATTGTACTACATGTTGTAACTGCTTGTGACTTGGGTCCATATTGGTATTATATGATATGAACTCTAGGATTTGATATCTTCATTTTATCTCATACTAAGAAATGCATACTTTCCTCCAAAATTATATTTTGACCAGTAATCATTTTATCCTAATCCATATCAAAATCATGCTCAAAATCAGTATACATGTACATGTACAGTGTGTAGGCTTTACTTCAGCTTATAGATCATATTTGTTTGGTTTCTTTTTTTTTTCAAAGCTTTAATTCATAATTTCCTATATTAAAAAAAATAATTTATACTTCTCGACAAGTTTAACGAATTCTTCTACTCCAACAATATCGCATAGAATATTACAGACGGCACCAAGGGCTTGACTTCCTGTTTTCTGCGCAAGTGCGTTGCAAAGAGCTCCGCATGTGCCAACAACACCGCTTTCTACAAGCATTGCAAGAAAGCCCATACATTAAGGACGATAAACTAAAGAATTGAAAGAATTTGTGATTTGTACATGTGTATTGAAAAAAATAGTATACTCGGTAAAAAGTAAAATTTAATGTAATTTTTTAAGATCTGGAAAAGTGAGTCAAAAGTTTTATTATTTGCATGCATCAAAAGATCTATCAGCAAGACTTACGAAGAATAATGTTCAGAAGAATGTCTATGGTTTGACTGGTGAAGTTGATGCACGTAGGGCAAAGGTCAACGCCCACTTTTGTTGCCTGGGAGTTGATGCGGGTCATTGATACCTTACGGAAATACGTGGTTTTGTGTGTGTTGACTGGGGTTCCATTGAGGAGAGTTGCTGCAAAAGCTTCCGTCAAAAGGAGACCACATATCACAAACACAGTGCCCTAGAGTGGGAAAAATAATTGTTTTACTTCATACATGTATAATACTTTGGTTGTTCCAGACTCGACATGCAATGCTTCCGTCAAAAGAAAAACTCAAACACAGTCCCCTAAAGTGGGAGAAATAATAACTTTATGCAAAGTTTTTGGTTCTTTCAGACTATGCATATATGTGCCTTAAACTAACTTAAAGTATTCTATTATAATATAAAAATGTAAAATTGGGGAGAAAATGAAAATTCCATTAGCATTTGTGTCTTATTGTTTGACCTGTGTCATACTGTACCTTCATCGTGGTGGACGCCTGACTGAGATTCTATACTTCGTGTGAATTTGGACAAAACGCAGATCTGATTATAAGACAGGGATTATGGTGAGCTGGCGGAGGAATAAATTAGGCCCTCTGAGGACACGATTTTTTTTTCAAATGGGCATTATAATACCGAAATTAGGTTTGATGCCAAGAAAATAAGGTGAATGAAGACAAAGTAAATGACGTAGAAAAAATCTTGTCAAAAACTTTTAAAACTGGTTAGTTGAAACACATTTATTTCTGTATTGTTTTTCTCAGTGGAAAAAATATTTTTGAATGTTGTTTTGTCTAAGAAAACGTCCAGTAAGTCAACTTATTGTTTTTACTATCTTTAAACAAGAAGATTCACTGGTATAGCTCCCTGTTCGAAAACCCTAGATTGCTCAAGAGGGATCATTTCAAACTATAAATCCAGTCACAATGTCCAGGGAACTTCTCCTGTGAATGCCAGTTGCAAATCGTTTGGTTTTTATGTACAAATCAAAAGGTCTGTTATCTCCTGTCATTTAGGGAAGATTTATTTTTACTTCAGACTTTTACTTAAACACCATAGATTTTAAATTTGTACGTGTTCCTTGTTCTGCAAAGATGCAGCAAACATCAAATATGTGTAAAGATACACATACTCATTATGAAGAAATGAAATATGACAAATTTCTAGTCAATCTTTGCAGAGCTGCCAGAGCACTTCTCGCAAAAGTTCACTGGAGAACTGTCTAAGCAGTGCAACAGTAGGTTGGGCATCGCGCAAAATGCAGATGGGTGTATATATAAAACATTATGTGTATGTATATAAAACATGTGTCAAAACATTTGGTGTTCGCCAAAGGCAAGATCATAATAGACATGGACTTAAATTTGTTTATACTACCTCCATCATACCCCGTTAAGGACAAGGACTACACGGTGATTTTGGCGCTCGGCAGGGGATGCTTACTCCTTCATGACATCTGATCCAACTTCCGATGTTTCAGAGGTCAATATTTGCTCTGCTCTTGGTTTGTATTATTTAAATGAACTTTAGAATATGAATGCTGTTCGTTATCTCCATAAATTTCACTCGATCTAAGAATCAATGGTTAGTTATTGTCATAAATTCAAATTCAAATTTCAGGCCTAAAAGCATGTACCATCAAAAATTTATGTGTACAGTTTTATTGAAAATCATTTCATCTACGCTTTGCCATAGGTTTTTCTTATCAGATTATAGAGATCTTTGGAAAATTCTTGACCTAAGAAAGCCATATATAGATTGTATGTTGCCCTATTCTTTATTTATATTAAAGGTTAATGAAAATAAACTTTTCCAGTAAATGTGTAGTGGAAACTATACAGGTTTTTCAGTCTTTCGAATAAAATCCTCTTCAAAAATGATAGGATACTTCATGTTGAAATATATTGATATTCATTTGCAACGTTTAATTCCAAATAAGATACTGCTTGATAGTTTATTTAATTACTGAATTGACGAGATTTGTATAATGATCACTGAATGCATCATCAAATTAGCAAAAGTCCAAGTTGTGAATGTGTTTAGCCTGGAACCGATTTCATTATTCCATTGTCTATCGGCAAAACTATCTCGTTGACCATGACCTTTGAGAAGTGCCATTGCTTCTAGAATTAAACACAATTTCAAGATATAGTCAACCACTTGTTAGTTATATCTAGTATAGTTTATCTCCAACTGGTATTATAAATTATATCCTCAAAAAGAGCCCAAAGGAAGTCTATGGTTGAAGTGATCAATACGGTATCTTTTCCCTGGACCCATTATTATTTTCTTTTTTTGGGGGGGGGGGGGCATAATTTGGCACTGTTTCGTCTATAAAATTTATTGCGCATTTGGACAAATAAATCTAGCCCTTTCAAATATTTCTATGTGTTTGGATATAGAGATCTGTCTTCTTATTGGCTTATAAAGACGTTATATAACATTGTAAGCTTTTCTCTGTTTCTGGGCAATCTATAACCGAATAACTAAGCAAACTCGGGAAACAAGGTTTACAACAGCCTCATGTTGATTATTAAGATTCTGTGGAAAGACTGCATTTTAGACAACATTTTTTTTTTAACCCTGCAGTGATATTACAGCTAGGTTGTAAGATTAAACATACTTAACATTCCAGAGTATTTTACCCTGTATATAGTGAAACGCACCAAACTTGCAGACTTGCCATAGCCATAACCACAGAACAGCTTACTCGGACAGACAGATACCAACGAGTATGCTTCGTTTTTGTCAGCATTTTTTGCAAATCACATAGCTAGTGCTACAATTCTCCAGAACTTTACATGTAGTGAACAAAGATACAAATATCTTAATCTGACAATGTCTAGATGTATATGCTCATTAAATAACCATTTATGTGCATGTAAAATTTTGTTATCTTGAATATTGGAGGTCTTATTTCCGAAAGGAAAGAAATTGGGTTGCATGATTTTTTCACTATAAGTAATGGGGGTATTAATTTCGATCTGTCTGTCCGCCCGTGACCATGATGACGAGTCTATCTATCTGTCCGTCTGTCAAACTTTCGTTTGGAACCTCGCAATATCTCGAGAAACCTAGCTTTTGCTATGAAATTTTACATATTAATTAAACATCTCATTGTGATCTAAGGAAGGTGCCTAATGATTTTGATGTTAAAAGGTCAAAGTTGAAGGTCATAAATTCATAACTTCCGTCTGTTTTAGATCTAATACTTTTGTTTCCGCGCTACTCCAAGCTTTTGCAATGAAATTTTATACCATAACTCATTACTAGTAAGTATATGCATGGTCCTTACCCCTCCTATAAATTGTCCTGTAGACACTTCTATTATTTTTTCATTCTCTATCCAGAGTTGTCATTCTCGCTTCGCTCCCACATACATGTTGTGAGCGTAGCGGAAGAAACTCTGGATAGAGAATGTTATCTTTTGTCTATTTAACTGCCTATGCCATTGACGTCTCATTTGCATTAAGACGAAACAATAAGCGTAAGACTTATCTAATTAAAAAGAATGCGGGTGGTTTCGCTCCGATTACGTGTTCGCGCCGAGTGGTTTCGCACCGATCACTTGTTCGCGCCGAGTGGATTCGCCCCTTATGTATATTATATATATTAGCTTTGAAGTTTTCAAGAATTTCTATCTGTATGAGTGCTTAAAATGAAGAATATTATTCTATTTTCTAATTACTTATGTGTCTGCATGCAAAGATTGATTGCCTTTGAAGTTTCCTTCTTCTACATAATTTAATATTGTAAATCAACTGAAAAACAATGACAGCCTTCATTGAAAAATCAACGCGATTTGTGAAATAAATATATATATTTTAATATCCAGTCCTAAACTATTCCAAATTAGACGTTCAAATCTGTTCAAATAGTCATAATTTGGCTACAAATGGCCTCACTAAAAGTATTAACACTAATTGGATAATTATCCAACATAACACGACATTAACGCTTGGGGTTAATTAATTAATTACAAGTAATTACAGGTAATCGGGGGGAAGGGAAGCCATTCTGTATACCATCCATATCTTACCTGTAGATAAACGGGGCGAAACCACTCGGCGCGATACCACTCGGCGCGAACACGTAATCGGCGCGAAACCACCCTACACCATTAAAAAAAATGTATCATGCGCATGCGTACTGGAAAAGTGCGAAATTTTAAAAAATGGCCGAGCGTATTCGGTGCCGAAGTCGTCGATCAACCGAAAATCTGTTTGTTATGATAGAAGAAAGTGTGTCAAAATCATTCCAAGACTGTGAAGACATTGACATTAACGAAAAACAAAGAGTTTTTGAGCGTTTTAAAGAGGTATTTAACGATTTTCTTTTTGTTATTGTTATGGAAAGTTTGTTTTTATACATAATACAGGTGTAGGTTGGAAACTATTCCCCTACAGTGAAATCAACTTGCTAGAATGCGATTATCCCTCTTCAGTGGAAGAATAAACGTTTTATTAAACATGTTTTTTGTTGATTGATAACAAATTTATCATAAATCTGGAACTATATAATATTAGTATACAAGAATTTAAAATGTGTTGGCATTGAAAAGTGAATATCCTACAAAAAATTGACAACAATAATTTCAGACAATCAATTCTGCATGTGAGAACTGAAAACTGAAATCAAATATTAGCCATAGATTTGTATTGAAAATGTTATAAAAATTACAGTTGTATATATGTTTTTAAATCATAGTTTCACTTGACATTAATCAAAGGGGCATTTGCTCTGTTCTCAAGTCCCCATATAAAAATACACACGGGAAAAATCGAAAGTAGCACAGAATTTTTAAACAAAGATAAAAAAAAAAAACAACTACTTGACTCTTGAGAAAAGTTACACAAACCCTTAAATGCAATAGATAGTTTTCGATAGGCCTTGAAAAGCGAAATACCTCAAAAAATTGGCCGCCATATTGGAGGTCAATCAGTGATTTTCCCTCTTTGTCTTACCAAGTTTAAGAAAATATAGCAGAAATATTTGGTGGAAAATCTTTATCAAATAATTTTTTTTAAATATAGGAGGCTTCCAAAAATTTATATACTTCAGAAAAATAATGATTTCTAATTCAAAATAGCAAATATAAAAATTTTAAATTGGTTGAACAATGAAGGAATATGAGCATTTGGACCTCCAGTATGGCGGCCAACGGGAAGTAACTCTTGGTCAATCGAAAACTATCTATAGCACAAATTAATACTTATCCAGGCTAAAATGTTCCAATCCAACATAAATAGCTTTAATCCAACTAAAACCCCATGCAGCTTTTCTGCACAGTGGGGAGCTTTTCTCCCGAAGGTGTGTTCTATGGACATTTTTCTACATTACTTTTTTTATTGACTTACTTTTCATCTTTTTTTTTTCTAGATATACTTTGGCAGTCTCAAGAGTAACATTGTTATTGATGGAGTAGGATGGGAAGAAACAAATTGTGATGAAACAGCAGGTAAAAACTTATGGAGCATTTGTAGCTAAACATATCAAATTATAAAGAAAAAGATGCTTATATCAATATCTTGTGATAGCAAGGAAATTTGAAATATAATATTTTACAATCTACTTATCATGGAGTTTCTAATTTACTGAAAATCATGAATAAAATGAATTGATTACTTTTCAGAATTCAAACCCATTGATATGGAGAAAAAGAAATACGTTGACACCACACTGGTGGAGTTGGTGGATGATTCAACTGTCAGAGTAAGCAGTCGACGAAAGAAGTATCCGTCAAAGCTTACCATAAACTGCCGGAAGATGTTGGAAGCTCAAACAGTTCAGTGTGTGAGTAAAACTTATTAGTAAATTCACATTCTCTAACTATAATAAATGCACGCATAAATATTTTGAGCTCTTGAATTTAAACCAAAGATTCTTTACGTGAAGAGTCACATTCTTTCTCTATTTGGGGCCAAAAATAAGGGGTCAATAATTCAAATTAAAAAAAAGATATGTACACAAAAAATCTGTTTCATTAGAATAAAGTCTGTAAAATTAAGAAGTCCTTCAAAATAAGGGAGTGAGACTTTAAAACTGCAAATACTATCATTTCTCCAGTAAGCCTTATCCACTTGAATGTTACATGCATAATAAAACTATTCAGCTTATTCTGTTCATTTTTACAAAAATCGACACAACCTTACGAATTTATCAGATTTAATTTACATTGTATATCTTCTAGTTAAACTAGCAAAAATACAGCAGAACCTCGTGTCATAATAATAGGAATTTTTATGCTGTGAAATCTCATTCAGAAATTATAAGTTTTGAATATAGGATATAATTTATTTTATAGATATTGTGAATGCAAGATATAATTTATTCCTCTTTTCATTTAAAGGTCAAAAGAAAGTTTCAGCTTCCTACTATGAAAGTATGCAACCATACAGTAGCAGAGAAGGTAGTCGACCCTTTAAGAATGGAGAATATAGCAGAATCCTGCAAAGATTTGGCAACACAAATTAAGGTATTGCTTTGTCCAATAAATATAATGTTTTATGAAAAAGAAATTTATAGATTGATTGACTGTGTATATTAATTAAATTTCTTAATTAGGGCCCCGCAAGGATTTGCGTGTGCCCTATAGTAATCACTCTGTCCGTCTGTCATTCTTCTGTCCACAAATTTTCTGTTTTTTCCTAATAACTTTTTTTATAGTAGCCCAATTAATTTCAAATTTGGTATGGTAGTTCAGTAGGCAGAAAGACATATTTTGATGCCAAGTTTGTTTTTCTGTGTCCTCTGGTTGGAGCTGGGTTGGTGGGGTAGATTCCTTAACTTTATATAAGAATATATAAGAATGAATTGGCAAAGAAAGATAACTTCTGAAAATGTTCCCATTGTAAACTGAATACTGCAATGAATGAGTCCCTTGGGATTAATTAGCTCTCCTCCTGAAGGAAATCCAAAGCATTATCTTTATCTGTCACATTGAGATTAATTACCACCTCTGTCTGCAGATGAAGTTTGTTTTGAAGTTAGTCAATTTTGAATGCTATGAACACTCTGAAATTTGGATTTAAGTATACATGTTTATACTTTATATTTGTTGAAATACCCTACATAATGAGTTCTGATTTCATTGAATTATAAAAACAAGAAATAGATTAAAGTAGATATATTTTTTTTATTTTTTATTTATTTATTTTTTTATGTTAATTCAAGAATATTATTAATTTTCAAAGTAGTAGGATAAAAACCTCATTCTATCATTACTGAAAAAGTTCTTATTGTAAATTTAGAAGAAAATGTTGAGAGAGAATAATAATCCCTTGGGATTAATTATCTAACCTGCTGCAGAAAATTTATAAGGCTTATCTTTATCTGTCACTTTAAGATTAATGAAAACCTTTGTCTGCAACTGCTGTTTGTTTTGAAGTTAAGGTCAAGCCTTCATGATATGTATTTGCATTCATAGAAGGCTGGCATATTTTATATAACACAAGCTTCATTATTGTTTAAATATACATTCAATGCTGAGTTGTTCTTTACTGCCATATGTAAATACAAGAATATTATTTACAGGTTTTTGCATATTCAGGAATTATCTTGAAATTTTAAGAATACAGTTGATGTTTCTTATTCTTCATATATTTTTGAATAATTTTATAAACTGCACCCTTATAATTCTACCCAATGGCGGGGCCCTTGCTGACTGGTCAGTTTTCTAGTTGGAATTATTATTTTATATAAAGTAAATATTTTGATAACTGGTTAAAAATGATATGTAGGAGAAAATAATTTGTTTCTCCGACTGCAAATTTTAAATGAACTTTTGTATATAAATGTTATAAACAGATTGTAAAAAAAGTTTTTTTTTAATATATATAATCTATCAGTTGGAACTATCATGCAATGCATTGGGCATTGCATCAGATGAGGTCAATGTTAACAGAATTTTTTACTAGATAAAAGCCTTGTCCTTTTTGTTATACAAGCAGCTTGCACATGCATTGATCACTCATGAGGAATAGTTTCCTACCTATATGGCATCCTTATTCATATTTATTTCTTCTAATATTTCAGACTATTCCTGATGCCCTCATCAAAACAGACAGACTGAAGAAATCAACGGAAATGTTCGAGAACCACAAAATGACTCTGCCCAATGGCGTCTTGTTTAATGACAGTGTAGTGATTCCTCCCGAGGAACCCTCCCTTCAGAGCCGGCTTCTGGTACAGCTACAGTAGGGGGATAGTCAAGCTACTGCTTGTGTTACCCATAGGTCCCATGTTGAAAAGTCTGTTATTTACTGGTTTTGTTTTAACATTGTTTTCTCTTTTTTACCAGTATTTTAAAGAAACTAGTGCATTACAATGAAAAAGAAATTATTTACTGTAAGATTTTTAAATGTACATATATGTAAATATGTAGTGGTATATTAGAGTTGCTGATATTATTTTGTTTTGTATAAAATCTGTCTTTTTGTACTCAAATGAAGTATAGTATAAAGTGTGTAAAGTTATACAGATAATTAGTTACATTAGAAGCATGACTTGTCTGTAGAATTGTTATTGCTTGTTCGAGATGCCTCTAATGCTGCATTATTAGGCTACTCTGGTCAGTATTTTTTTTATGTTTAAAAATTTATTTTTCTTTATCTTACTTTCATCAGATAAGTTTTCCCACTTTATGTTATTCATTATTGCATTATAGCAGCAGTAGCCCATTCTTCCATCTCCCATTTACACACAAGAAAATGTAAAGCTGATTTCATCATGATTTCATTTCCACAGTACATAATATGAAGAATTTACATGTGCATTTTATCCAAGGAAAAATTTTTCTTATTTTATCTAGGCTAAGTAAATTTGAACATCATGCTTTGTCACAGTTGGATTGTCCATTCCTTTGTAACAGTACTTAGGCATCAAAAATTGTTTTAAAAGACAATAATGTCATAATATACATGAATGTAAACCCTGGTAGTTATACAAAATGTATACTTTCTTCATTTCTTTACTGATGCTGCCTAAGATTTTATAAATGTATATATGAAGAAGTCTATGAAACATTTGGTTGGTAATAAGAAAATGTGAATGTTTTGCATGTAGTATTGCACAGTTAATAACATAACAAATGTCAGCAAACAAATGTCAACAAACAAATGTCTATGTACATTATCACAGTATAGCTATAAACACACTTCCAGTCAACATGGCGTTGTTTTTGTTGTTTTCTTTCCAAGTAGGAGACTTGCAGAGGAAAATTATCAGTCTGAGTGATTTTTCCCCAAAAGGGAGACAACTCTGCCAACATCTCTTGAAGAAGTGCTTGGTCTGACTGATTCCATTTGTAAATCAATTACAGATTCAGTGTAAATTTAGCTACAGAAACAGTTTTCTTTTTTGACTGACTTCCTGTTAATGTTGATGTTAATAGTTGGTGTATCGTCTCGTATAGGAGTTCTTCCATTGTCACTCAGATCTTTGAGGTGAGATGCCATGGATTCAAACAGTTGTTCTACATTGTTGGATGTTTTGGCACTTGTTTCTATCACAGGAATATTATGCTGGTCTGCAAAGTTCTGAAAGAATGAAATATAACTAATTTTAAATTGTTTGGGTGCTTAAATATGAATGCTTGAAATTTTTCCCTAGAGTGGATATTTTTTGAGTACCACTGAATAAATGAGTAAAGCAATGAATGGAAATTTTCCAAAGGATTGGTATTTCCTGAGTACCACTAAATAACTTGGTAAAGCAAACATTAAGTAATACCTTTGCCTCTGTATAATTGACCACTCTTTTGGGCTGTAAGTCGGCCTTATTCCCTACCAGCACCTTGTTAACTCTCTTGTTGGAATAATTCTCTACATCTTCCAGCCATTTAGACACATTTTGAAAAGATTCCTTAAACAGAACAAAATGGAAATACGGGTACATATTTCAACTACCGGGTATATTGTCTGCTAATTGAGGATCAAGATTATGTTTGAATACAACAGACCAGGAAGTTTTAAATTTTTTATTTAAAAATTTACATTGAAAGAGTGTGTTTTCCCAAAGTTAAGCTTAAAGTTGAATATTAAAAAGGAATAATGTTAAAGAATGTCATTCCATTTGGAAATACTACCTTGTCCGTGATGTCATAAACCACTAATATTCCGTCGGCGTTCCTGTAGTAAGCTGTGGTGATGGTCTTAAAACGTTCCTGTCCCGCTGTATCCCACTGAAATAATAAAGTGATAGATACTGTCTAATAAAACGAAATGATGTCCACTTCTACTTATAAACTTAAACTCTTTAGGCAAAGAGTTCTCTATTTTTCTGAAAGTTAGCGGGGGGAGGGGGGTAGGGCTGTATCAATATATCGATACGTATCGATATTCAAGAATAATATCGTATCGAAAAATAACTTCCAATACGTTTCAGACAAACATTTTTTCTTTTAATTCTGTTTATAAGAAAAGAATTTCAATCACCAAAGATTATATTTCACTTTTTTGGAATTAAAACTGTTCAATAATTATATAATTTGTAAGGAAATAACATTTTTTTTTATATAAATTATTACAAAATATAAAGAGAAATTTATTTCAACATGTTGATTTTACTGTCATCAAAAGTTTTAATTTGAAGTACTATTTATAAAGACAATGAGACAAGAACTATAAAATGGGTAATAAAACACTTAATTGTTATGAAATTTATGCATTAAAATGATTTAGAAGCCTTTTCTGATGGACTTGTTTTAGAATCCACTATATCGTATATCGTGTCGTATCGAAATTGTTGGCTCAATACACAGCTAGGGGAGGGGGGGGTGAATTAGAAAGCATTATTATTGTAACGAAAATTTAAAGTGATGATGTCAATTTTCGTCATATTATGTTTAAGATTTTCAAGATCCACAATATATACACAAAAAAAATTACATGCGTAATTTGTCAAACTATAAGTCATTCACAAAATTATTTACTACTAGAGTATATAATTTCTATAATTATTAAACATTCACGATTTCTTTGGGAATTATTCATGCAGGGAAAATAATGTCACCATTTGAGACAATTTTTCCGTTTACGTACAAACATTTGATGACTACAACAAATATAATGAGTACTAGTATTTATCTGGATATAATCTAAATATTGTACTTACTATCTGTAAACGCACTGTTTTCCCGTCAATTTCAAGTGTCCGGATTTTCTACAATAGTTTTATTGTATTGAGAATTTGAACTGTATTTTTAAAGGTTCGTGTATTTATTAAAACTGATGAACTAGGAAGGTAATATAAGTAATTAAGTATACAGTGTTTGTATGTATACTTACAAAGTCTACACCGATTGTGCTGATATAAGTCTCTGTAAACGATTCATCCTGAAAGAAAAAAATGTAGATATTACTAGTACATGTATACCTATAAATGGGGGAAAAACTTTTACAAACTTTAACTAGAAATGATATATAATTTTTTTTCTTTATAATTGTAATTTAGACTCAACTTAAAAAAAAATTAAAATAGGTAAATGCATGAAACCGAGTCCAAACATTTTTACATTTACTGCATTTCAACCAACTTACCGTGAATTTCAGCATTAAACTAGACTTCCCAACACCGGAATCCCCAATAAGCAAGATTTTGAAAACATAATCACTGAAAAAAAAATCATTCAGCATTAATTTCCAGTCTGACCAGAGATTAAATTTTTTTCTTAATCATTTGTCTTAATTATTTGAGTAGAACAGTCATATAAATGACAACCCACCTGTCCATTTCGGCGGTTTTAAAGTTTATGTTGTTAAATGCCACACGACGGTTTGTTTATATACTATGTACATACAAGAAGACTAAAACACGCTGGAAGTATTGAGCTGTTCTATCACATCTATATTTAGCCAGCAGTGAATCATTGAACGCTGGGATTTTCGTCTAGTATGGATTTTAAATAAATATTAAAATATCATAACCAATAAGAGAGTTAATTGGGTGTGACGTTAACTGTTAATAAGATGGGATTTGACTACAAGCACTTGACTGTAAGGGTGGTTTATCCCCACCCCATCCCTTCCACACACGTGAGAATTTGATAAAAACACAAAACCTGATCGAATATTTTCTAGCATTTGATGCATATATATTCTAATATCATTTCCCAATTATGTTACGGTTTTAAGATTGTCCCTCCACCAATCAATATACCCCCATACTTGATTGACTGAACAATTCAAAAGTACTAATTATCAGCGAATTGGTTTTTTTTGGGGGGGGGGGTGTTACACCACCCATGCGTCAAGTGCCCGCGATTTTACAAACGAATGAAATAACCATTTTATTAAAATATCCAAATAATCCAAAACCCAAATAACTTTCGTAGTCGTTTTATAAATAAAAAGAACATTCTTCAGCTGAATTCCAGTGTCAAATACTCCAATTAATATAACTTTTTATAGATTCATAGTAATGCAGTTCATATGGAAACATATCTGTCTTTTTAATGAAAATTTTAAAATAATATTTATGTTCCCGTTAAACAATTTAATAGATAAATCATTTTTAATTACGCTGAAATGTTTTTGTGTATTGTGAGAAAAATTTCACTAAACAATGAGGGAACTCGCCGAAACTTCCTGTCTAGCAAACAGTCATAACTGATAAATGGGATCCCGATTTCAGTCTCTGCTTTGGGGAGAGTGGTTGAAGTCTAACTGGTCGGCTTGTGGTTAATATCTCGTATCCCACAATTTGCTTTCTTTTGGGTATCAAACCTCGATCCAATTCGCCCGTCTTGTACACGCTCTCGACGCGCAGTTCGCTTTTTGGGAAATGTCCTCGTGTAAGACAGCGGTTCTTCTCCCATATCTTGGAAACGAGGGTCAGGTCTGGTTTTGAGCTGCTTTCACCATAGAATTCACTTCCGAAGTTGTGATTCACGGCAAGACTTTCGTCCATTCGGCTTAAATTCCTTTCATTCAGTTGGGGGAAGAGTCTGTCTTGTTTCTTGCGGCCTCTCCCTTTCTTTGATCGGCTCTGGGAGGAAAACTTGAAAGGGTTCCCCAAAGTATGGGGTCTTACAATGGTACCATACGGAGCATTCTCAAACACCGGACCCAGTGTTGTTTCGAAGTTTGAAGCCGACGCGTTCGAAAATGGCAGTGATTCGCTTGCACTTTCGTAATTTGAAGCACTGGCTGTTGGAACAGAAGTCAAAGTTGTGGTTGAAGTGGCAAGATTTCTGTTCAGACCCGGAACATTTTCACTTTGAACAGTTTTTCTATTTGCGTACGCGTATTTTTTCATCATTCTCATTGCAATTTTATCCTTTTCCGTTTGCATAAGGTCCAGTTCTCGTCTGGTTTCGATGATTTGCTTTGTCATTTTGTAAAGAATGGCATCGTATTTTTCCTGCAGCCCGTTCAGATACCTCTGTAGCCGAGTATCGGCCATTTTGTTAACTTTAGACACCAGCGAAATATCCAAATCATAAGAATCATTGATAATATTTTTGGAAAGCGTCATTTTTTCCTCAACACCTGGTAATAATTTCACTGTCTCGTGAACATATTTTACCTAGACTTGCAGATCTTCAATTTCTACAGTGCCATTGTTCTCAAATTACCACCTAACAGCGTATCATTTGTTTATCAGACATTTGAACTTTCAAAAGACAAAAGATGAATTCAAGCACATATTTGATTATAGAGGCGTAAATCGTGGTTCACCGCGGAAGAATGTATGGTTATATGCGATAAATATTTCAGTTTGTGTAATATAGTACATGAAATAGATTAAGACACTCAAAACCCCTTTAATATTTACTAGATTCCAGGCCTCAGCTAACTGGCGAACGAACCTTATTTCAAATTTATTAATTTAGGGCATAGCAAATTATTTAACATTAGATCATATACATGTTCGTACATTTGCATTCCCCAATATATGTAACGGATTAACTACTCGTAACCATGACCAAGCTGAAAAAGGCTCAGCTTCTTTTCACTTCAGTCAAGCTGAGCAAGACTAAACTGCTCCTCATGCACCCCAGTCAAGCTGACCAGAGCTCTCAATTTATAGCTGATTGAGGCTCAAAAGCACTACACCTCAGTCAAGCTGACCAAGAATAATGCTTTTCCCTCAGTCAAGCTGACCATGCTCATCAATCCATCACCTCAGTCAAGCTGACCAAGGCTCATATGCTTTTCATTTCAGTCAAGGTGGCCAAAGCTCATCTGTTCCTAACCTCAGCAAAGCTGACTAGACTCAATGCTCCTCACCTCAGTCAATAATACCATGACTTAACTACCTTCCACCTCATTTAAGCTAATCATGATCCTCAAATCATTCACTCTGACCAAGGCTTAACTTTCTATGACCTCAGTAAAGCTTTCTAAGGCTTACCTGCTTCTCAACTCAGTCAAGCTGACTAAGACTCAACAGCTCCTCACCTCAACCCAGCTGACCAAGACTCAACAGTTTTACAGAAAACTGGAAAAAATATTAACTTAGACCCAATTTCTGTTATATTAGGTATTTCTGGCAAAGAAAACACATCTTTAAATGTCATTATATTGCTTGTAAAACAGTATATATACCAAAAATCTAGAAACTGTAAACCTTTGATATTTAACGAAGTAAAACATAGGTAATCAGAGATTACAGAGCTCACCTCAACGAATGTTGTCTTTAAGTAAGGCAAAGTCACACAATTAACCAACAAAAAGTATATATTCCAAAAATGAAAATATTTTTAAAAGCAATTTAGATCTGATACTTTGAAATAGACCTACATAAAAAATTTAAACTACTTCTTCTTCATGAAAATGTAATGAAAATCCAGCATCTGAAGCAAATTTGAGAGTTTTCATCTCTTGATGCAGCATTTGTGCAAGTTTGGTTTATACAATGTTATATAAGCCTTATAGTTTTTGGTAATAGACCTGCAACCATAACTTTTACCTTGTCTATTATCTGAAAAATGTATGTCCAATTCAGCATCCGAAGCAAGTCCATTAGTGTGCATCCTAAGATGTATCATCCATGCAAGTTTGCTCATTATAGGGCTCATAGTTTATTGGAAATGAAACATGCATCAAAACTAACATTTTCACTCATCCACAAAAAGTAGGTCAGATTCAGCATCCGAAGCAAGCCTGGAAGTATGCATCCTTAGATGTATCATCTATGCAAGATTGGTCATTAAAGAACTCATAGTTCCTTGGAAATGAAACCTGCACCAAAAACTTTTAACTAATCACTCAACCGGAAAATGTAGGTCAGATTCAGCATCCGAAGGAAGCCTGGTAGTGTGCATCCTTAGATGTATCATCCATGCAAGTTTGGTCAACATAGGGCTTAAAGTTACTTGCAAATGAAACCTGCACCAACAACATTAACCTGTTCGCTCAACTGGAAAATGTAGGTCAGATTCAGCATCCGAAGCAAGCCCGGTAGTATGCATCCTTAGATGTATCATCCATGCAAGTTTGGTCAACATAGGGCTTATAGTTACTTTGAAATGAAACCTACACCAAAAACTTTAACCTGTTCACTCAACTGGAAAATGTAGGTCAGATTCAGCATCCGAAGCAAGCCCGGTAGTATGCATCCTTAGATGTATCATCCATGCAAGTTTGGTCAACATAGGGCTTATAGTTACTTGGAAATGAAACCTGCACCAAAATTTTAACCTGTTCACTCAACCGGAAAATGTAGGTCAGATTCAGCATCCGAAGCAAGCCCGGTAGTATGCATCTTTAGATGTATCATCCATGCAAGTTTGGTCAACATAGGGCTTATAGTTACTTGGAAATGAAACCTACACCAAAAACTTTAACCTGTTCACTCAACCGGAAAATGTAGGTCAGATTCAGCATCCGAAGCAAGCACGGTAGTATGCATCCTTAGATGTATCATCCATGCAAGTTTGGTCAACATAGGGCTTAATTACATGTAGTTACTTGGAAATGAAACCCACACCAAAAACTGCACCAAAAATGTTAACCTGCTCCAAAAACATTAACCTGGTAATTCCTTTGCTGAAATTGCAGCATCTGAAACTTTGTCTGGTACAATAAAACACACTAAAACCATCTTCCATGCATGTCTAATCAGTATAGGACACAGAAGTAATTTAAAAGAAAACTGCTCCAAAAAACTTAACCTTAACCTGGGACGCCGACGCCGAGGGTATCACATAAGCTCCCCCCAACTTCGTTGAGGTGAGCTAAAAATGTAATATATAAATACTATAATTTTGAAAAATACTTGTTTGCATTAAATATGGAAGACACCCAGTTTAAAAAGAGATGGCAATTGTTAGACAATCTATTTGATAAATGATTAGCTTTATATGATATTCATAAAAGGACACTGTAACTTTTACTTTTGTTTGTTTGTATTTTTTCTCTCTTTTTTATAAATATACTTATAGTGATAGTAAACACAGTGTAATATATAAACATGCATATATATGTATATGTATATTGAATTATCTTTTTGTACAATTCATAAATAGGTGATACTGAAATGGATGAGTGAGGTGGAAGAATCAGTGAGTGAATGTTTAATAAAAATCCACAATGATTTTGTAAATATAAGCTATTTGAAAGTTGTATTGTGGAAATAAAAAAAAAAAAAAAAAAAAAAAAAAAAGACTCAACAGCTTCTAACCTCAACCCAGCTGAACAAGGCTCAACAGCTCCTAATCTCAACCCAGCTGAACAAGGCTCAACAGCTCCTAACCTTAACCCAGCTGAACAAGGCTCAACAGCTTCTAACCTCAACCCAGCTGAACAAGGCTCAACAGCTTCTAACCTCAACCCAGCTGAACAAGGCTCAACAGCTCCTAACCTCAACCCAGCTGAACAAGGCTCAACAGCTCCTAACC